TGTGAATTGCACTGGAAGCCTGCTCTTTATACTGTCTTGAGGAGATGTTTTCAAGAGCAGTTTGATTTGTAAAATTGCAATGGTGTCATCCTACCTCAATTGGTAGCACTCTTGCTTCAGAGTCAGAAGATTACATGTTCAAGCCTCCATTTGGGACTTTGAACTCACAATCTAAGCTGACATTTCAATGTAGTGTTGGAGGACCCTTTATTTTTGGAGGTGCTGTCCTTCAGATGAGATATTAAAATCGAGGTGCCATCTGCCAACTTGCATGGATGGTAAGGATCCCATGGCACTGTTCAAAAGGAGAAGGGAGTTTCTCCTGGCGACCAATCCCCCAAATAAAGTTGGTCATTCAGTTTGTGGCTGTTTGCAGGACATTGCTGTGTACAAATTGCCTGCCACATTCATCTACAAACACAGTCAGTATACTTTCCAGTTAATCTTGTATAGCATTTTCAGTCATACATAGAGTGAAAAGCACTATGAGAAATGCAATTATTATCATCATTATTTATTATTATTCATCATAATTTATGATCTCACAAGGACACAGAGGTTCTTGCAGTGAGAAGGGCACATTTTGTGGATGTTAGAAGACTTTGTTTTGAAACATTCTAGGAAGCACACCCTGCTTCTAGTTTGTGGAAACTAGAAACAAATGAATCTCGTTCCGCACAAGTCTCTGGATAAAATCAATAAACATGTCATTCCCCAAATAACGGATGTAATAATGACTGAAAAGAATAAAAAAAAATGTAGAAACAGTAGAAAGCTTCCTATTCTTGGTGTGACTATGGCCTGAACAATCTCAGAGCACCAGAACAGAAGCTGTTGTTCAGTTCTGCGAGGTGACCCTTTGACTCTAACAAAAATATTTGCTGTAAGGTATTTACATAATGGCAGCTGTCATAACAGCACTTCACTCAGTAGCAACACCCTGACTTTGTGGCTGGTTTGGCTTCTTTCACAATTGAGTTTAAGACCCACTGAGAACTCGTTCTTCTCCTCTTCATTCTCCTTCATCTGGGCCCATAGAGTGCTTCCTATTTACAAATTATAATCTGGCAGCAGCACAGTCCCTTCAGAATTGCCGTGTGAGAAGTGAATGACAATGTTCCCACATACTGACATCTATTTTTTAATACTGTAGTCACATTACTGTGTGTTCTTCACATGGTGCACAGCATCATATGCGATGGTTCATGTTGCTCTTCGGTTTGCTCTGTAGAATTTGATGTTGACACTGTATTGAATGTGATATCTGATTTCACACATTAGGGGTCTAGTGTGCAATGATTTCTGTAAAGGATTTTCAAATATGGGATGTACTGCAGGGTCCGTATCATCCCAACCCATTGGGATTTTGTTCTGATATCGATCTTGAGAAAGGCTTCTTGCACCTGGTAAGAGATCAGTTTAGATTGACATCCAAGTGGCATTCCAATGGATGGGGGCGAGATGTATCAGAATGTCTCTGTATTTCTGTATCTGACCCATTTGCAGTACTGACATAGCCCTGGTTAAAGTCAGCAACCACATTCTCTCTGTTTGCAACCCTGGGCCTCCTTGGCCTCCTCAATTCTTCTCTGCTGCCTTTGACACCATTGACCACTCCATCCTTCTCTATTGTTCCTCCTCCCTGATTCATCTCTGAGGCTCTGTACTTTCTTGGTTTTACTCCTAACTGTCCCAGCATCTTCACTTTGTCTCATCTAATGGTTTCTCCTTCCATGCACGGTCACACATGGTAAACCCCAAGGCTTTATCTTCAATTCTCTCTTTTCATCATTTACATTATCCTTGGTACCATCATCCTCAGGCCCATGCCACATGTATGCAAACCACCCAAGGCAACCTCATTGCTCTTTAACCTTACCTTGTCTACTCTCGACTGCAGGACCCCTGCTGTTCTTACAGTCCTCTTGTCAGAGATCACGTCCTGCATGAGCTGTCATTTTCTCCACCTCAAAACTGTCTTCTGTCAGCATTTCTTCATCTCAGGCGCTGACTTCATTGATCGCCCTATTTGCTCAATCCAAGTCATGGAGACTATGCAGAACCTGCCGTTTTCTTTGACCCTCATATTTCCTTTAAATTTTTCATCCACGCTATGACAAAGTCTGCTTTCTTCTCTCTCTGCAAATTCGGCCACTGCTGTTATTAACTCACCCCTCACACTTCTGAAACCTTCATCCACGCCTTTGCCATCTCCAAATGTATCTTTTCCGAAGTCCTACTCACTAGCCTTTTGAGCTCTATTCTTCACAAACTCCAGACCATACAGAACTCCGCAGCACATATCATCTCCCCCATCAAGCTCCACGAGTCCATGACTCCCACCTTCATCTGGCCCCATCCCTTAGCAGGTCACCATTAAGATGTTCAGCCTCCTCTTCTAAGACCTATTTCTCATGAGACCACCCCCCTCCCTCCCCACCCACCTTGGCCAGTCTCGTTGCCTTGCTGACTCTGGCTTCATGCCCTTGACCCACCATCTGCAGGCGAGACTTCAGTCATTTTGACCCCTCCCTCTTCAACATTTTTCTGAAATCCCCCCTTTCCCCTTCCCACTCTGCTTTCAAACCTTGCCTGCAGACTTACCTCTTTGACTGTACTTTCAGTGACCTCCCTAATTTACCCCCGTTTTAGCTTAAGTGCCCACCTTGTCCTTGTTAACAAAAAAGCTGTGAGATGTTCTTCAATGGTCTATATCAGCAAATTCTTGATGTTTGTTACTTCACGCAGCACTGCGTGCAGTGTTAGACACTACTGATAAATTACATTGTATATGTTCACTCAATGGGAATTGCATTGTCCATGTTGTAGAATATCTAATTTTAATAACCATTCCCACTAACTATATGTGCAATGTTACCTTGTTTTGCCATTCTTGAAGCACAGATCGATTCAGTGTGGCATTGAAGTGTTCCATTATGAAAGGATATAGAGGAGAAGAAGACAATTATAAAAAAAACATCCTGTAATAACCCTTTTGGTATACTGCATAGAGACACTTTAAGTGATTCATTGGTCCTGCCACAAGGTATGTGACGATACTTAACAAACCTCATATATGAGGCACAGTGTTATGTCCGGGTCACCTTCATCAATAGTATTGTCAATGAAGCACAAACCAAGCTTGTTTTATGAACCACGCTACAATCAAAAACCTATTACAGGATATGCAAAAAGTCTCATTCTCCAATTACACAGTAGAAATAATAATGTTTACCCATTGTCTTGGAGCATTTGCCATTGTCTAGCAGAGCGGGCCTTGATCTGCTTGCAATAATAATAATAATAATAATAATCCTTGCATTTGATATAGCGCTTTTCACATCGGGAGGACGTCCCAAAGCGCTTCACAGAACACACTGTAAAGTGAATTGACTGTATATTTGTGGGCGAACGCGGCAGCCAATTGCGCACAGCAATGTCCCACAAACAGTCGTAGATTGAAAATGACCAATTTATTATTGTTTTGGGTTTTGGAGGGATTATTATTAGGCAATCACAGAATGGAGGTAAACAAGGGGAATGGGATTAGGAATGGAGAGCACTTGGAGGGAGGTAGAATCAGTATGGACATGATGAACTGAATTCCTCCTTCTGTGTTATAGAAATACTATGATTTTCTGAATGTGATGATGCTTATTGCATGAAAACAATGAAAAGGAAGAATGGGTCTTTTGCCTCCCCAGACACAGAGGTTTTAACATTTTCTGCAGGTTGTACTATTAGAACTAATAATTCAGTCTTTAGTTTAGCCTTTAGTTTCAACATAACATTGATCCGTCGGTATATTTACTACCAGCTCATAATAATAAGCGGTCTTTCAGCCCATCTCTACAATCAATAAAAAAGATTACTGGAGCCTGAAATGTATTGACCTGTCTTCTTGAATTCTCATTCCCACAATTGTTAAATGTGCACAATCTATCTGTGGTTCATAGTTATTTCAAATATTTCACGTTTCTGAAGTTCTAACATCGTAAAACAATAATTGCATTTACAAAAGCTGATTAAAAGATGGTTATCAAAGATGCTTCTTAATATCCATAAGTTTAACTGCCCTGTTAAAGTAGAAATGCTGAAATCAATTAATTTCTCAATACACTTTTACTACAACTTTTATTCACTGTAAGAAAATTCCAGTAAGTCAGGAATAATATAAAGATCTTACTTTTCGACCATGCTTACGGTCACCTCCCACCCCCCCCGGCTCGAAGTCAGACTCCACCACTGTTAAGCGCTCTGAGACTCGGGCTCTGAAACACTACCCTCCATGGAGGGCACTATATAAGTGCAAGTTGTTGTTGTATGTTCAACCCTATGTTTCTATTCTTCTGCTCCTTTTGAAAACATATTTAACATGTACTTGCTCTCCTTATTCTTTTTCCCAAAATATATACCCTCACACTTTACTGAATTAAATTTTAACTGCCATTGTTCTGCTCACTCTTGTCTGTCTTGTCTTCATGAAGTTGTTTCCTGTCATTCTTTCCTGGATTGTAAACGTGGAGGCATAGCAAAGCTCAGGCATCAGCTGTTCTTCCATACTAACCAGAATGAAAATCCAAATTCTCACACCAAAATTCGCACTTTGCTAAATTTACTCTGTTCCCTCTTGTTCCTGGCTTCTCAAAGTCATTAAATGTGCGTGTTGTCTTCTGTCCTAAAGTCTCTACTAGTTGCTCACAGCAGACTCAAATTTCATTGTTCTGCCCTAGTCCAACTGAACTTGTAATAATTGTCAAAATTCTCTAGTTATTCATGTTTATTGTAAAATAAAAGCCTTGATTCCTAACTTTTAATATCTTAAGGTCTCTGCTTCTCTCTAAAATTACAATGTGTATAGAATCTGTCTGAAATACTTTCATTCTTGAATAAGCCATTTGTGTGACTGATTGTCTCTTACAAGATTGTCTCTAACACTTGCAATGTTAAGACCTTTTCATGTGTTAAATAATGATTTTGCTTCTTTTTAATTCTCTCAGGGTAACTGAATACAACAGGAAGCTGAAAAATGTAAGTGTATTTAATAATTTTTCATTGCTTTTGTGTGTTGTTCACAGTTATTATAGTTCTAGGGATATTCATGAGATAAAATGTTTCATTATCAACGTGATAATAACAAGTGCTTATGGTTTTGCGCCACAAATCTATGTCATGAAAAGATATAGAAAACAATCAGAGCCTGGATATGATTGCAGCTTTTATGTCATTCCGAGGTTTATTATATAATATGCATTGTAGAGTTTGTGACTGGTTTTATTTCATTTTGATTTCTTATTGGCAAGTATTTTGACACAAATGGCAGTGAAAGTTATAGTTGTTTGTTAATGTTTATGATGAATGATTAACAATCATTATGTATCGGCTGAAACCATAATAGATCATCAGAAAACACAGGCAATATCAAGCAGCGTTATTGGACGACAGCAACGGCAGTCTCATTACAGCACAAAGGAGGTCTAACACACACACTTGAAGAAGAAAGTGGCATAAATAATTAAAATGAGCAGCAAAAGTGAATTGTGGAATTCTCACAAAAAGTGCTTAGGGAGGCCTTCCATTGCTCACAAAATTATGGTAACCTAATGGAAAAACAGCAGGAAGAAAGGTTATTTTGTGCCATTCATAGAACTTTCATGTGGCAAGAAAGGTGATCAGCAACATTCAAACAGCCAAGTCGAGATTGGTGAGCCAGTGGGTAGCTTTGGAAGTTGCTTGATGTAAACCTGAAATGTTGCCGGCAAATGATCGAAGAGAGCTCTGATTTACAGTGTGATCCATAGTTTGTGACTGGTGTCCACATAACATTGTGCATTGTCTCTCACCTTCCAGAGGTGTAAGAAATGACAGCACATGCCACGCAATGTTCTGAAATGGTTCTATGTGGATCATTGTTTCCAGGTTGGGTTGAAGCCTGGAAGTTCTTTCGTGGGATTGGCAATCAGGTGTTTGTTTGGGACATTAGCATTATCCCAGAACTTTTTCCAGTCTGCCTCAACAACTTGCATTTATATAGCGCCTCTCATGCAGGGTAGGGAGGTGCCAGAGCATGAATGGATTTGAAAACAAATATAAGGATCTTGAAATCGAATTCATAATTCTGAGTTCATATTCATATCTGTAATCTAAAACCCAGCAGCGAGAGCCTCTGGTCCTAGTATGGATCTTGGGGTTTGAAATGAAGTGCTGATCCCAGTTGTTTGCATAGCGTTGGCTCATTGGTTGCATTCATGTAACAGCTTCTTGTGCAGCTCTGTGAAGCAAACCCAAAATGGACATTTGCCATTGCTAGCAGATAATTTCTGAAGCCCTCTGAACCGCATGGCAGGAAATGTACTTTCATAAATTGTTCCTTGTAGTCCATTCCAAGAAATAATTCTAGGGAAACGTGTTCTTAGCTGCCTCCTACAATTATTGTTTAGATACATTACTTTAAAAGTGTTATCAGCTGTCCAATAGCTCATTTATTTCCCTTGCGTTCTCTGCGGGATCTTATGAAAGCAGAAAGCTGTGCTCAGGTGTGTCTGACACTGCTGTATTTTGCCAAGTTATTTTTTGTCTTTTTTATAGTAGAGTAATTTAGACTTTGTCCTCAAAACACATTCCTCAGTCATAATTCAAATAGACATACCGTTTGCATGTTTCAGTTCATATTTTTCTCTCTCCTGGTCCCATTGGATTTGAGATACTTGGAATTTCAGATTTTTTTGTTGAATTGTGTTTTTTTTCACATGGGGGGATATATGGGATTATTTGGGGGGTTTTGAGCGCAATCCTCTCACTCACTTTACCCCAATGCTCAACGTTCATTTTTTGCTGTCTTTGCAGCTTGTGCTTTTTACGCAGATCTGGTTCCTGGCACGAAAATGGCATTGCCAGTGAGCAACATAGGAGCAGGAGTAGGCTATTCAGCCCCTCGAGCCTGTTCTGCCATTCTATTAGATCATGGCTGATCTGTACCTCAACTCCAAATACCCGCCTTTACGCCATGTCCCTAACAAAAATCTATCCACCTCAGTCTTGAAAATTTAAATTTCAGTTATAGTGCAGTTCCACCGTCGACTCCATTCACTGTATATCAGCCGACCCCTCGCTTCCCGGGCACTGCTTAGCTTTCACATTAAAATGGTCAAATTCCAGGTCGTTGCTGATGCCATTTCCTGCTTTGTGTCCGTGCAGGAAATGGGAAGTGACTTCAGAGCTGACCTGGACATCATCCATTTTTCTTTTAGCACAGGAACCAACACAGGGATCAAGCCAATCGGTTGCACACAAGCACAGTGTATTTGAGAGTTGGCCTAACCATATGTGTAAAAAAAATTGGACAAAATGAATTACAAGAGCCCTTCTTATATAATTACCAACCAACCCATGAAATCACAAAACTTGGATTGTTTTTAATAATTCTGAGTTCATATTCATATCCTCGACCTAAAACCCAGTATGGATCCTAGGGTTTGAAATGAAGCGCTGAGCCCAGTTGATTGCGCAGCATTAGTCTCATTGGTAAAAGTGGTTGCATTCATGTAACAGCTGCTTGTGCAGCTCTGTGAAGCACACTCTGAAAGGACAGTTGCCATTCCTAGCAGATAATTGCTAAAATCTTCTAAATTGCATGGTAGGATATGTAATTTCATAGGTTGTGTCTTGATGTTCATTCCAAGGGATATTTCTTTGTTAACTAAAAGAAAGTTCCAGTAATGAAACTTCAGCAGCTGTGGCCAAATTATTTTCTTGACATCGGGCAAGGAGGGGAATGGTGATTCATTCCCAGTCGTTGCTGTCGATGGATTTTAAGGACACGTTTTAGCAGCATTTTCTGTCCATGTACAATGGAAGCCACTTTAGCCGGATGCAGGTTAACCCAGGTAAAATGGAGAAAACGACCGGCCCCGATGTGTCCATCTTAAGCGGCTTCCACTGAACTTATTATTGCAAGTGAAAATGACCTTGAGTTTGAAAAAAGCACCTTTCCCATCAAGAGGACATCTCAAAACTTTTCACAAGATTCACTGTGACATGCATTGACTGTATTGCAGGCGAAAGCAATGACCAATTTGCAAATAACGATGTTCCACAAACTACTGTGAAGTGAACAACCAATTTTGTTCATTGAATAATACCACTGGCTGTTAGTTATATTCAGTCACCCATTCTTGCCCGTCGCTCCCTATCCTTCAAAGGATCCAGTTCAAGATCCTGGTCCTCACCTACAAAGCCCTCCATAGCCTCACCCCACCTTACCTCTGTGACCTCCTAACCCTCTACCAATTGGCCCGCTCCCTTCGCTCAGCCAGCTCCGGCCTGCTCCAAGTCCCCCGACCCACCCGCCCCACCGTTGGCGGGAGAGCCTTCAGCCACTCCGCCCCCAACCTCTGGAATTCCATCCCCCAATCACTCTGCCTCGCCCCCTCCTTAGCCTCCTTCACGCCCTGCCTCCAGACCCTCCTCTTCGATCATGCCATTGGCCACCACCCTTCCCCTCCCTTCCCTTACCCCCCCAGCTCGGGTCTGAAATGCTCTACACTGTCCAGTGCCTTGGGATGTCCTCCCGACGTGAAAGGTGCTATACAAATATAATCTTGTTGTTATTGTTTGCTGGCTCACATACCTTCCAGTTGACATTAAGGGTCGCTTAGTTTTAGCTGTTGGATTAGGTGCATAAAATTGGTCACTCACTCCATGGCTGTTCGTGGGACACTGCTGGGGATAAAATTGGCTGGCACATTTGCCTTCAAATAGTTACTAAAATCCTGTGAAGTGTTTTGAGACATCTCGATGACATGATAAGATATCATATGAAATGTACGGATTATTTATTATTACAATTTAGCATTTTATAAAGTGAACTTGTGCTCAAATGTTGTCCTGCCTGTCATAGGTTACATGTCATATCTTGCATGTTACACAGACTGAAAATAATGGATAGAAATAAATAAAAAGAAAATATTTTATCTTTGGATTCAGATGCCAGTAAACATGAGCTGTGCTTTCACAATTTGGCAGAAGTACAGGAAATGTTCCAAGTGCCTGGCCAATATTTTTCGCTTAGTGAAATTGTTCAATAATTAGATTAGTTGGCCATCCATCTCATTGCTCTTTGTAGGATGTTGCTGATGTAGATATGTTGCTGGACATAATGGGCACAGAACAGACTTTCAGAGTAATTCATCATGTGAAATGCTTTGAGACTGTTCAAAAATGTTGTATCAAATTCAAGCCTTTTTAATTTTTAAGAGGTTAAGAATTTTTATAAACATGGAGCAGCCATTAGCTGAACAATTTTTGATTCTCAATTTAATATTTTAGGACATTGCTGTGTGCAGAATTCACCCCTGGATTTGCCTACAAATTACACAATCATTACACTTCAATAAATACTATGAAGCACTTTGAGATGTCCTCCTGATGTGAAAGGCATTATATCAAATGCAAGCATTACTATTATATGCTTTTTTTAAAAAAACCTTCTTCTCATTTAAAAAAAAAAGTTTCTACTCTTTTGTGTGTCAGCCACATCGGGACTTGAAACTCATAAGCTGACATTTCAGTGCAGTGCTGGGGGCCTCTTGCGTTGTTGAAGGTGTCATTTTTTGGTTGAGACATTAAACCAAAGACCCATGTGCCCTTTCAGGTGGATGTTAGCTGATGGAACTATTTAAAAACAGAAGAGAATTTCTCCCAGTATCCTAGCCAACAATCTCCAAAATAAAATTGGTAATTTGTTCCATAGCTGTTTGTGGGACATTGCACTGTGCAAATTGGTTTCTGCATTGACCCATAAAACACACACTCAGTGCACTTTTGAGTATATCCTGTGGATAAAGAGCTGTGGATTATCTTATTATCCATCATATTCCAGCCCTCAAACAGTAATATTGCAGAAATCTGTGCCTAGTATTAAATGTGGGAGTGTATTGAAGGAAGCTTTGTTCTATCGGGCACTGAGTGGATGTAGTTTCGAGGATGATGAAATGAAAGCCAGGATAGATAGAAGAAGAACCAACAATAATTGATTTCATTATCAAGTAGCTTAATTTATTGCAAGTGTAAAATACTATCCTTATTGTGAAGGTTCCAGTTCTTTATTTTGTGGATTGTATCTAGACATGATTACTGGCAGGTATCAGAAAAAGTTGAGTTGAATGTGAACTAGTGATAAGTTTAGAAAAGTGCAGAATGACTTCACAGATATTCGGGGTCCAGTTTATGATATTTTCAAAAGACACGTGAAGCACTAACGGTGACTTCTGTTTAATTTGCATAGTTTCTAAAATGGCTAAAAGCTGTCGAATTGTGAAAAAAGATTTCCCCGTCGTTGTCCTACCTTGCTCTCTGCCCTTTTAGAAATAGCGCAATCTCCTCAAATTTAATATTCTCAAATTGTCATCAGAAAACTATCTTTCCAATCAACAACAATAATGACAGACAACAACATGCCAATTAAAATGATTGTTGGCAATGATTAGAAAATGTAAATAATAATAAATGCTGCAAATCCCTCTAACAGTAACCTCCTGCAGAAGATAAATTAATAAATTCTCTCTTGCTTTTTTCCTTCTTGAAAATCCAGTGCAGTTATAACCTTTGGAGGAAGAAAATTTTGGCAACATGATACGACAGTGAACATATCCAGCCTTCATCCTAATCACTGAGTTACTGCGCACTTTATAGTTGATGGTGATAAGCATAACATTAAGTGGGACCATTAACATCACTTATGTTGTAACTCATTGCATTAACTCACATTCTTTGACCATGAATATTATTTTTTAAATTTCACCTCCAATATTCTTTCCTCTTCTCGAAAGACTGATGCTAGCGTACGGCTCCACATCCACTGACCTTCCTCCAGTAACTCACCTAAGTGGCCATTCCAGGCAGACTGTCAGTGCGGAAAACAAAGACCGTCAATCCCATTCCTACTCTCACCAGACATACGGCTTCTTCCTTTCCTATTCAGGGACACTGAAGTCAATTGCAGCACTTCTGCCTCACTGAGATCTGTTAACTAAATTCACACAAGATATCAGCCCTGTGACCTTTGGAGTCCAAATCATTTAGCTTTGCTCTAGGCAGTGGACTTCTTCATTCAAACTGAGCCATTAGTGCACCAGGTAATCTGATTTTGCTGATACACCGACAATTGAGATTAAGGGAACCATGGCATCTCCTTTGCTGCCAGCTGCTTTTTAAATCTCTAAACTGGTTTCTTTCCCTAAGGTTTTGATCACTATTTACTGGTTGGGAAAAGCAGCAAACAGCTGCCCATCTTACAGCGGGCCAACACTCAACCTGAAGGAATTTGAGGGATTGCTGTCTCTGATCCACAAGGTAATGAAGTTCTATTTAATTTATTGCATACACAATCCTTTATTGTGACAAACTGCATATAGAAATTGACTCAAGCATGGTCATTGCAAGCATTGCCATCTTTGGTACATGATGCTTTACGTTCCATTTCAAAAATAATATGCGACACTGTATTTAACTTCAACTTTCCAGCAATATGTTTGATGTGAAGTGGATACGGTCGAGATAAAACATTGGACACTTTTGTCACACTAATCAAATAAACAGCAAAGGAAAATGAAAGATGTCCAGTATAATGTAACACTTTTTTTAAAAAAAGGATGATAAACATTTTGCTGCTGACACATTTTTGATACTTCAGCTCTTAGACTATTTTACTGACAGTAAGTTGGCTGCAGCTTAGTGGAAGAGTGAGACTACTCTGTTTCCATATGGACGCATCGAAAACAACCACTGAAAGCTGGTGGGCATCATTAGGACATAGTGAGGTTGAAAAAACACTTGAATAGAAAAACTACTGTGTAAATCACATGAGCAATGGAAAAAGTATCCTGGGAAGTAAAATCCATCTTGTGCAGGGAGCTTTATGGATGTCACGTCAAGTCATCCGAACCAAAAATGGCTCAGAGCAGAGTTCTCTCAAATCGGTCAGATGGGAGAGATGTGTAGGAGGCCCTTTTTATCCTCAAGTGCTGTATTCAGCGATTGTGCTATTTGTCTTTCAGCCTAGCTCAGTTGCTAGCACTCTCGCCTCTGAGTCAGAAGGTTGTGAGGTCAAACCCCATGTCTTGGGAATTGGAACCTATATGGTCTATGATGACGCTCCAGTGCAGTGGGTGTGCTGCATTATTAGAGGTGACGTCTTTGGGATGAGACGTTAAACCAAAGTCCTGACTGCCTTCTTCAGTTGACGGTAGTAGAAATCGCAGGGCACTTTTGGAAAAGAGAGCATGTTTATCTGGTGTTCTGGACATCAATCGCCCACATAAAAATGGTCACTCGTTCCATGGCTGTTTGTGGGACGTTGCTGCGTACAAATTGGCTGCTGCATTCACCCACACAATACAACCAGTCACCTCACTTTACAGTATATCCTGTGAAATGCTTTGAGACATCCTGAAGATGTGATAAGGTGCTCTATCAAATGCAAAGATCATTATTATTATTAGTTACGCTGTTGTTTTCCCATTTGAGCTCTTGTTGGACCCCATTGACTGAATGGCATCCTCTCTGTTCATGTTCTCAGGAAGGGGGTACTGACTGAGCGTGTCGAAAATCTTTCAGGTGTTGTGCAGTTTCACAACAAATGTGATTTTAAAAAAAGACACTTCTTAAAGTCGAACGATTATAGGGCATGAAATGTAAAAACAAAGTACACCTTCAAATCACATGGTTTGACCACAGATTTCAACCACCCCTCAGTTTATTTACGAGCACAGTGTTTTGGAGATATCTGCTTGATACCATTTACACAGTTAGGTGGTGAGATGTATCACATAACTATTCCCGTCAGTTGCCCCAAATTAGATTGACACATGTCACATTAAACTGATGCCGTAGGGCATTTTTGTAAGGTAAAGCTGGCATTTCCTTTTGAAAATATATGGCGTGAATTGGACTTTACCTTTGTAGTTAATGTTAAAGTAGCCTTAAATTGAGACAAAAGATTTATTATACCATTGGGGTGAAAATAACACAGGATGGCTCCCACTGACCTTTCCTGGGCTAGAGTTTCAATGTTTAGTGTGTGCTCCTTGCACTGGAAAGAATTTATAATCATGGGCTGTCAAAGGCAGCCATTGTTCTCTGTGCGCCAGCCATGTGGGTCAGATACAAGTGCGTTCATATCCTTCAAAGCCAATAGCTGGCAAGCTGCAATGCACTGGAATGATTTTTTTTAGGGATCAGGAAAAGCTTTTGCATATTTTTGTTGCTGATTGCCTCTGAATGCTGTTTCTCTTTAATCCAGCAATTTCATTCGAAGGTGGCTGGAAGCGGAGGGCAGACTTGTTCCTATCATTCACAAGTTGTCATTCATTCTGACAATGGTCAGAGCCTTGCTAGGTGCAAATGAACATCACACAAAAGTTGACAGTTACTTTTTTTCTTGAAAACGCCTGGTTTGAGAACAAGAGGTTATTTTGTCAGCAGCCCACGGAAGACTGAAAATATTCAGCTTCTCAAACCACACAGTTACTGTGGACCTTTCATTCACATCTCTGGATTACACTATGCAAATGAAAACCAGTGCCAGAATTGCCGATTTCTGTTTTTTTCTCTTGCTGGTTGCCGTGAGGAATCGCCTTTAACTTTGCTCTCTGTTAATTCACATGTCGCCAGGAGACCGAGGACACAGACAGCCCAAAGCGAAGCATTCGTGACAGCGGTTACATCGACTGTTGGGACTCTGAGCGCAGCGACTCTCTGTCACCACCCCGTCACGCCAGGGACGATTCCTTTGATAGTCTGGATTCCTTTGGCTCGCGGTCACAACAGACACCATCCCCAGAGGTGATACTGAAGGGAAGTAGTGACGGTAGGTGGTGACAAGGATTAAAGTTAATGTTGATGCACCGACGTTCGCCACAGAAAAATTAATCTGTAATAATTTACCAGCTCCACTTCTCCTTTGATAGCTGGTAGAAATGCGTTGAACTATGTGTAATTATAGCTCAATGTAGACAGTTTTTCTACCTTGTACGATAAACGTGCAGGTGTAATCTATTCACGTCGTGGAGTCCTGTAACTCAGTGGTTAGAGCACTTGCCTTGCAAACAAGAGACCTGGGTTTGATTCCCGGCAGGCTGAAACCTTGGGCAAATTTCCTTACTCCACACGCCTGATAATAATCCTTCAAGAAAAAACACAATAATAAATTGGTCATTTCAATCCACGATTGTTTGAGGCACACTGCTGTGAGCAATTGGCTGCCATGTTTCGTCCACAAATATACAGTCAATTCACTTTGATGATAATCATCAAATTATCAATCATTTCATATATTTCACGCCGGAATGACTTCTCAAAGCACTTTGCAGGATGTACTGTAAAGTACAGGAGCTGTGTATTTTGTAGGCAAATATTATTAAGCGTGATACTGGAAAATTGATGTGTGTGTGTTTTGAAACATAAAACTAAGATTAGAATAAAAGTTTCAGCACTTTACAATGATCATACTCTGCTATCATGTGAATTGTGCTTTGCAACATAGTGTAAGTGAATTAAAAGTGATGAAGCTAAAAAGCAGACAGCAGTCGCCACTGGAAAGGTCAATGAGTTGTGAAAGATGAAGGTTCAAACAGAGATACAATTACAAATTTTGCCCAGTGTAAAGGAAGAAAGTAAGCACTTGACATGATTGAATTTGGGAAATGAAGCATATTGCAGCCGTCGCTCTCAGATAGTAATTCTTGAGCGAGTGGTGAGTGATTGAAAGAGAGAGCGAGAGAGCAGGTCTGGCCGTGGGAGGGTTTGTTTTCAGCTGCTGAAGAAAATTAACAAAGAAAACAAGTTCCAGTGCCCGGTGTGAAAGGATTGAAAGAATGTGAGAAGTCGTAAGAGCAAGCAATTTGAAGAATAACAAAACCTACTTATATAACACTGCTTACATGTTGAACAATGCTCCTTTCTCATGGACGGAGAGGCATTACCAAGCTATAGGGAGATTATTCATTCTTGTACAGTGTACTGGGACTCGAGATATACGACGCCAAACAATTTATATAATGCTGTGTCTGTAGTTATTATGCTATGCACCAAATTATATTATGCTATGCACCGAATGCATCTGTGGGGTCAAAGTTGCAGCATTCCCAATCACATTCTGTTCTGTTATATTTACGGCTAAAGATGTCAGCAAGGTCTCCAATGTGATTTAGCCTCAGATTGTAGCACTTTTGCCTGTGAGTCAAAAGGTTGTGGGTTCAGGTCCCAAGTTGGGACTCATAGTCTTGGCTGATCTCTAATGCAGTACAGGGGATGTCTTGTGATATTAGAGGTACGTTACTTTGAACCCTTAAACCGAGGTCCTGTCTGCCTATTCAGGTGAACGATAAAGATCTTATGGCACTTATTCGCAAAGAGAAGTTTCTGCCAGTGTTCTAACCACCAGTTCCCCAGATAACAATTAGTCATTCAATTCATGGCTATCCAGAGGTGCTATCTCAGATTGAGTTAGACGTGTAGCCCCTGAATAACCTCAGAAAGGCTGCTTTCAAAACTCGAAAATGATCCCTGCTGAGCAGGAATCCAGGATGGTGACGTCAGGGCTTTGTAACTTTACTTAGATATTATCATTATTAGTAGTTAGTGGTGAGGCGGTTTAAAACATATTTCAACCTTGTTCCTAAAACAAAGAACGGAACGTGTTCAGAAATAATGCAGTTTTGACCTTGTTGGTGTCCATTTCCTTATAGTCATCACTGAATTGTGTCACGACTCCACAGCAGATTATTTTTCTCCTGCTCTTCCTCCGGAAGGTCGCGGCAGTGACTCGGAGTCCGATGTGCCACAGAAAGCGCCGGATGTGAAACGTGACGACATGTCGTTGAGACGGGCATCCTACCATGAGCCCAAGGCCAACCTGCCTTTCAACCAGTACCTGCCCAACAAGAGTAACCAGACCGCTTACATGCCAGCGCCTCTTCGGAAAAAGCGGGCGGAGCGAGGAGATCATTATCGGAAGAGCTGGAGCAATGCAACCTCACCTGTGGGAGGAGAGCGGCCCTTCAGGTAACGGGACTTCCCAGTGTCGTGTTACAGATTGAAACGCTCTGTGATTCAGGCAGCGTGCCCATTTCACAGGAGCTACTCCATAGCCTTGCTGAGCGCTTTTGTTACAACATAAATCCGTTATACGTGCCAATAATTTGACATGGTTATGAAGTAGGACCTGTGGTCAGCAGGTGCTTTGGTTAAGTTGTGGATCATCAACCGATCCCAGCAGAACCCTCTGGTGCCCACTGAACAAGCCAGCTTTTTTTATTAATTAAAGAATGAAAAGCTTCCTCTTTAGTCACTGAAAGTGATTTATCCCAGGTGGGGGGGTGGTTTGGTGAATTCTGCTGAAGGGGATGCACTCTTCACATCGATAGTATTGGTTAGCAAAAAGAAACCAAGGCAACTTCATGAAATAGCTGTTGCAAAAACAAGGTGTCTTTCCATAGGGTGAAATGTACATCCTATTGAGTGAAGTGTGTTGATTCGGGCAGTTTGCTTATGTTCAGGAACCCCCAGCTCTTAAGCGTGGAATTCCTTAATGTCTGCTGTGTGCTGGGTAACAAGGCAGGCAAGACACGAGCTAGCTATGGTCTTCTCAACAGTACTCATTTTTTACAGTTGCCACAGTGAGTTGACCTTCAGTTGTGTGCAACACCTTGAAGCCAGCTGGAAGCCACTGCAACGTACGGCCTGCTGCTATTAGTAACAAGCTGTAACCTTCCAATGTACTGGCCAGATTGCTCCTTTCCCCATCCAAAACGATCCAAAACGAGGATACAAGTGGTTTACAACATGTGTCTAACTTGCGAGATTTGCAAATGGATTTGTAGTATCCTGTGGGTTCACAGACCTGTCTCAGCCCAACTCTCTTGAAGTCAGCTCAGACTATGCTCTCAGTTCCGACTTCAGTGAAAGCAGACTGAAGGTCCCTAGTGTCTGGCAAGAGATTGGCATCTGAGCTGGGTTCCAGGAGGCAGGCGTGACACACGTTTGTGTATGTGCGGGATTCACTATTTACGAATCCTTTTGTGAACGTTTGCGGTTTAGATACCACTGGATATTATGTAAACTGGGTGTTTGCGTAAGATGTCTAACATTTCCTGACCTTAATGCAACATTGTAAAACTCATTGGCCGTAGTCATCCTGAGCCTATAGAAGAAGAGTGCAGTGATGAGGAATTTGCAGAGACACTTCCTGCGTTGTCCAGCGTTCGAGGGGTTGAAGACACCGAGGCAACTGAGAAGCTCAAAGTGTCAGGCGGTGAGAACTCCGGTGCTTGTGGCAAACAACTGCTCGTTTGTGTGGCTGAGTGTTCAGAGCACGAGGCCCCCAAAGGAGACACAAAAGGGGAGGAGAAAGATGATGAAGAGGCAAAACTGAAAAGAATGCAGAAAGCTGGCATCACAGTCATGCCCGCTTCTAAGCGTTACACCAGGTCAGCAGCACGGTGTGTGCTTCTCATAGAAGTGAAAGGAGAGGCATGGGCTCCTGTGGTAGTGCACAAGTTGTGTGGTGGTGCTTTTCTTTTATTATACCATGGTCGCCAGAAATTGATTGCAAAAAACCAGATATTAATCTCAACTCCAGTAGCTTGTCATTAGGTAAAACCTTCACCTAACCTTCACTGCATCCCAGCGTTACACAAACGAGCCTTGTTGTGATTTAAATTGGAATAAAGTTAATTTATTTTTCAGTACAATATATACAATATATAATTTCCACGTCAGGAGGACGTTTCAAAGTACTTCACAGCTTCAAATAAAAATGAACAGCAGGCTATTGAGTAATATTTACATTTGAGTTATATAGACCTGGTATAATAGGAATAAATTGTGTAATCCGCTGGGTGCTGCAGGATAACAGTGTGTGCTGGCTGGTGCTCATTTTGAATCAACAGCTTTGTATCTTTTACCCATGCTACTATATGTACATCAAGCAACGATTTTTGCATGAATTTTATTTGTGACTGTCAGATAACCACTCAAATATCGTGTTGCAAATGCACAACAGTGAACCTATCTGAGTATCAGAGCTAAGTTGTACACCTCAGTTGGCTGCACAGTACTGTTTGATAGGTTGATGGAGGTGCTGAGAGTTCTTCTTATTCTCGATGTCGTATTATATCCTTGTCATCAGACAATAAATATTTCTGCATGACACACTTTTACACATCATTTATAGGATAATAACTGAGAAGAATACAGGTTAAATGTAGCCTCACTTGTTGGTATGTGTGTTAACATGTTGGATAACACAGGCAAAGTGTATCACATCGATGGATAAACATATAGATTGCAATGTGCTACATTGGATAACACATTTGTATTAGACAATATAGAAGTTGGAGTGTATCTTATGTTAGATAATACCATACGTTGAGTAACATGTATACATTCAAGTAACATATGGAGAATTTTGGATGATTGAGCTATGAGCAACGATCAGATAAGCAAAGGCTCTTCAGTCTTGAGAGAAGATGTCTCAGATTCGACCTTACAGAGGGGTATACAATTTTAATTGGGATTAAAAAAGTAAACTCAGAACAATACTTTAGGATATACAGAGACAATAGAACAAGAGGATACAATAATAATAATAATAATAATCCTTGCATTTGATATAGCGCTTTTCACGTTGGGAGGACGTCCCAAAGCGCTTCACAGAACACACTGTAAAGTGAATTGACTGTATATTTGTGGGCGAACGCGGCAGCCAATTGCGCACAGCAATGTCCCACAAACAGTCGTAAATTGAATATGACCAATTTATTATTGTTTTTTGTTTTGGAGGGATTATTATTAGGTGTGTGGAGTAAGGAAACTTGCCCAAGGTTTCGCTCTGCCTGGAATTGAACTCAGGTCTCTCACTTGCAAAGCGAGTGCTCTAACCACTGAGCTACAGGACTCCACAAGTTTAGAGTTGCAAAGGGCAATTTCAAGGCTAGACATGAGGAATTGTTTTCTTTACCCAGGAGGTAATTAACAACTGGAACAGGTTGCCAGGAAGGGTGTTGTGGCCAGGACACTTAGAATCATTTAAAAATAGTTTGATGCTGTGATGGGGGGACGGTAGGTTGGGAGTTCTGGCAGAATCAGATCAGGTGGATGGAAGGGTCTTCTTCATCCGAATCTCCCTTGAGGTGATCTTGAAATAATAAACTGTGGGACTGAAGCTCAGGATGTGATGAGCTGGAACGTAGGAAAATAGGAACAGGAGAAAGCCACTGTGTGGCAATATACAAGAGTCAGCAACATCTGGATTCTGTAATTTATTGTGCAGTGATATTGGGCTATATTTCACTGCAAGTAACCCTGCAGAGATTATCAGCAAATATCATAGTGTGGAGTTCAGATAAAATCATAGACCACAACAGCAAAGCTCTAGGAAGAAATTCCAAGTAGATCACCAGTTACTCTACTTGTAGCATTTCAGACTGTTTAGAATTTGGCAAATTCTTAAATACAACATTAATTGGAGTTCTGTAAGGCATGGGTTAGAGCACTTGCCGAGCAAGTGAGAGTTAGATTCCTGGGCAGGGCGAAACCTTAGGCAAGTTTTCTTACTCCGCACTCCTCTGTTTACCCAGCAGTAGGTAAGAACCTGGTTGTTAGTCAATTGGCGGATTGCTGTCTTGGGGTAGCAATTCCTTAAAAACAATAATACTAATAATAAATTGGTCATTCAATCCATGACTGTTTGTGGGACACTGCTGTGCATAATTGGCTGCCACATTTTGCCCCAAAACATATAATCGATTCACTTTACAGTATATTCTGTGAAGTGCTTTGCAACATCTCAATGACCTGATAAGGCACTCTATCAAATGCAAGGATTATTAGTATCAAATGCAAGGATTATTATCAAATACAAGGATTATTATTTTTTGAATGGGGTTTTCTGCAAGTTCTTTTAAGAACTGCGGAAAAACGACTTCAAAGTTTCGACTGAATTCAAAAATTTGTCAAATTCTGAACGCTCTCAAATGCTACATAAATAGAATAAATCTATACTCAGGTGAATTTGTCCCCATTATTAAAGAGTTTATTCACCCAAGGAGAGGTTACTAGAATTTTTTTTATGCTGAGTAATTAGGGATATGAATTGCCCTGGTGGGAGCAGTAGCTGAGGCAAAATTCTTGGCTTTCAAGAGGCAACTAGAAAAATACCTTAAACAAAGTGCTGAATTGTTTGATTTTGTGGGAGCTGGGACAGACACGATGGGACAAATAGCCTTCCTCTGTGCCACAAATTTCTACCACTCTATGGTTTCAACCCGAACCTGAGATAGATTGCCATTTCAGTGGAGTTAGGATACATTCCTGGGTACAAGGTTTCACAATTCTATCATCAACTTGAATAAAGATATTGCGATAGAAACTTTAATAGTTATACTGTGAAGTGTATCAATCGTGTATTTTGTAGGCAATTTCACTGTTAGAGGGAAATAACCAACCTTCTTGTTGACTCATTGCTGATGATTTGCATGCTGCTATTGTACAAAGCACGATCATTTGCAGTCACTGAGCTGCATAAGAAGTGATGGAACAGACGTCTGGGAACTGAGTGTCAATAAAGAGCTGTATGCATGAAAGTAGAGATGAAATTGCCAAAGACGCTATGTGGAAACTGGGATGAGGAGAAATCCATCCACTGTACTGAAGACACTATAAACAGAGGTTTGGGTCCATAAAGTCAGAACCCATGTTATAAAATTGGCCGCAGTCAGCACTTCGGTGTTGGTAGGTCACTGTTGAGGTCACTGCTGATGTCACTGACCCGCACTGCAGTCGGCAGCAGCCACAGGAATCCGCTATACTGCAGGTTCACAGTACAGTTTGCTATACACGAACCATATACGGTAGCACGGAGTCCGACTGTGCAACAACAACTTGCATTTATGTAGTGCCCTTCACATACAGTAGAGCACCTTAAAGAGATAGTGTTGGACACCCAGCAAAAGAGAGAGGGACGCATGTTCAAAGAGGTAGGGCGTTAAGACAGAATGTGAAGGGGCAAGACAGAATGGTAGAGGGAGGGAGGGAGGCCCAGGGGTTAGGGGCATAGAAGCTGAAGGTTTGGCCATGAATGGTGGCACGAAGAGGGAGGGGGCCACACAGCGGGTGGGGGATGTGCAGCAAGCCTGAGTTAGCTAAATGGAGGGAGCGAGCGGAAGAATAGGGTAGGAAATCCGAACGATCAGGAAGTGCCCAGTGTGGATGGATTTGTGGTACTGAAAGACGCAGACACAGTGTGTGTGAATGTAAGACACTGCTGTGGAGGCTTTCAACTAACAGCACGTACCTCGCTATTACATTGTTGAGAATGGTTTTCTGCTTCTCTGGGATAATGATGGCCTCTGTATGGCAGCCCAAATCCATTCGAGGAAAACAGTGGCCAAACCACGCCAGATATCATTCTCCGCAGGGAGAACGCTTTTTTGACAAACACTCAAAGCGTCGATCTGGAGTCGGAGGAAGAGGGAGAGGAAGAGGAGCAAAAAATGCCAGATCTGGAGAAAGATGACCTTGCCTTGCGGAGGACACAACTGAGTCAGTTCAAACCCAAAGTGGTCACCAATCAGTTCCTACCAGGACCTTGCACGAAGAAGGATAAGGAGCGATGGGAGAACATTAAAAAGTCCTCACAAAAAGCTGCCAGCAACTCTCAAGCTAGACATCGGAAAAGGCCAAGGTGTGCATCACATTACATCCCAATCAATTTCATTCCTTTGCTGTAATTGCCTTTCTCATTTCTATAGCTGCCACTTTCTAAGCATCCCTCCTACTTATTACATTTTTAGTGTTATCTGCTTCCGTCAAGCTTATCCGATCTCTTCATCCTGATAATGAAAGACTTGATAAGTAGCCTTTTTTTGCATTTTTGCGTTTTCCCTTTTTCTCAAATAAATTTCAGCTGTTCAGTGTAAAAATGTAATTAATACATGAACAAAGGAATGTTCTTTCTACTTCATTCAACAACAAGATTACATTTGTAAAGAGCCTTTCATGTCGGGAGGACTTCCCAAGGCGCTGGACAGTGTAAAGCATTTCAGACCTGAGCTGGGGTCAGGGGGGAGAAGGGAGGGGAGGGGAAGGGGGGTGGCCAATGGCATGATAAAAGAGGAGGGTTTTGAGGCGAGACTTGAAGGAGGCTAAGGAGGGGGCGAGGCGGAATGAGGGTTAGGAGATAGGGTGGGCGAGGCCATTAAGGGCTTTGTAGGTGAAAGACCATTGAGGGCTTTAGTTGAAAAAATTCACTTCCAAAATACACAAAATAATAGATCTAAAGATTCAATCAGATTGTCCTTTATTGGTACTGTGACACAAAGGGAATAGTTCCATATTTGATATTAGGTAAAGCCCATCACAGGCAGGAAAGGAAAGTCAAGCGCATTGAAATATCAATCCCCTTAAGGGTATAACTTTTTTGCACAGGTTTTGCTTTTATTTGCTGTTTGCATTTAAAAATCATTCCTTTTGCTTTGTGTGAATAGGTGACCGAATAAGTAAACAAATGAGATTTGTGGTCTGTCTACTGTCCAGGATTTTGGTTTAATAAGCATTTAGATTTCAGGCTAATGCCCCTGATCGGAGAAAAAAAAAATTATGTTAATGACTTGAAATTTATTACTGCTATACTTTGCTTTACTTCAACATATTTGTTTCTTTATTTCTGGTCTTGTCTGTCTCTGTTTCTAAAAAAATGCACTTGCAGACTTGTAGTTTCTTTTCTCATACCTCTCTTTTCTTTCCTGCTCTACACTACTAATCCATTGCAAACCTGCGCTGGCTGCAAGTTGTCACCTCTTACATTTTTCTTTTCACCTGATATTCTGTGCTTTTTTTCTTCCTCCTTTCATCTGCGTGCAATCGTTCAGCCCAAATCACATTCAGGCCACAGAGAGCAAGGCAGTTGCGCCACAGAAAGGGAAGACGTTCCTCAAGTCCCAGCGACGGAGCGAGTCTGAAGAAGAAGAGCCAACGAAAGCAAAAGTCCCAGATGTGCAGCGAGATGACTTGGCCAGGAGGAAAACCCTGGGTGGACTTACAAGTCGCCATGAACCTCAGACCTTCATTCCTACTACTGTCACACAGGCTGATATGGAAATATGGGAGAGGCTTAAGGTTTCCACTGACACAAGGTTACTACCTCCCTCCACTTCCATTGTTTCTAGGCGAGCTGCAGGAAGAACAGTTGTTTTAATATTTGCCAGTTTTTAACTATTTTGTCTATTAAGCAATAGATATGTACAGAATACAGATTTCCTTAAATCATAAAAACTATTTTATGATAAGATCAAAGTTAAAGAAATATAAGTTCCTTTTGCTGCAGGTGTTTCTGGCAGGATGTAACTTCTATGAGTTAAGTCCTTAATACACAGTACTTGCTGTGAAGAGCTTGGGCTAACTGTCCTAGGTCTGTCCTACTTTCCTCACCCTCCTCCCTGGGGAATGTTCGTGCGGCGTTTGTGCAGATTTCTCTGCATCATGTATGCTTCTGATCACGGAGTTCAGTGTTTGAACGCAGCTGGGTTAACTCGATGGGTAAGGCACTGATCACATGCTCGATCCAGGATTCATATAAAAAAAATGTCAGGCAGGCAAATTGGCCTCAAAAATGTTTGTTTGGAAAAATGGCTTTGGACTGACACATTTATGTGCTAAAATCAGGAGGGTATGCTTGGTTCCACAGTCAGGCTTTAGGATCTGATGAAAAAATGTGACATTCGATCAAATCTGTTTACAGTTGTGGGTTAGGGCTAGGGTTGAAGCCTGGGATCTCCATAAAAAAAGCCATATGATATGCTGCATGTTGATCCTTCCCTACCTCTCTTTCGGGTTGAGAGCAGCCATTTTGGCTCAGACGTCCATCAATAACAGTCAGGGGTTGCAAGATATGTTACCCACCATGTACATCTGTGAAACGCACTCAGTTGGTCTGCAGTAAGGTTTGTACTCCTGCCCAGTCCAGCCTCAGACTGAACCCACATGTGTGATTTTCTATTGGGGGTAACCTACCGGTTCAGATCCTTACAGAAAAGAACAGGAAGCCAAAAAGATGTGAAAAAGGTTAGAACCGTGTGCCATTGATAGCAAGTCTCCAATGTTAGTAGTAGCAGTTGAAAAGCACTCGAAGCGTATAACAGCAAGGAAATTTGCTTTGCGACGTAAACTCTGTTTTCCTCTGGGTGTTCCCTCTTCGTCGTGCTGACAAAACCTTGGCTCCAGCCCAAGATCTCCTCAGAGTAAGGTGGACGTGATCTTCAGGGGTTTCCCTGCTGGAAATAATGATTACGTCACGAGACATCTTTTTCTGGCATTTTCACAGTTCGGACAAAACCTTTTTCAGCACCATTAGGTCAGTGGGATTTAAAATCCTCTAAATAGTGATCTGAGCAACACAAGGGAAACCCACCTTGTAATGTTGGTACATTTTCTTCATAAAATAATGGGGTTTAATCTGCTCTGTTCCTTAAAACTGTTTCTAGGCTAGTATAGAGATTTTGAGATTTCGCCTCAATTCTAGCTCCTGACTTCACCGTAGACAGGATTCTCTGCACAAAACAATTCTGCCAAGTGAAAGAACTCAACAAATTTAGTTACCGCAGAGTTATTGCAATACGCCCATCGTTCGATTTTTCTTTCAATAAAACATGCTCTGTGAGGTCAACAGGCAGCCAGAAGGTGAATTGTATTTGCCCATGTGCTTGAAAGAATAGATACAGCGTGGAAAGCTATATTTCTTCCCAACAAACCTGCATGTTGTTTGCTTAGAAAGGATTTAGTTCAGATGCAGACTACTGCCTTATTAAAATGAGATTCACTTTCCTCTTTATCTGCCTGGTGGAATAGAGACCTCACTGTTTATCATTCTCTAACTGCTCCATTTTCCTTCATTCTCCCACTGCTTTTTCTAGTGAGGAAGCTCCCAAGTCACTTAGACATAATTGTGAAGTGGAGCCATTGCCCAAAATTGAAGTAGAGAAAGCGACTCAAGATGATCTTGCCGGTCGTAAGGCGAGAGCCAATAAACGTGCTTCGGGCAGCTGCCAGCGCTTTGTGCATTTCGGCCCAGTGACTGAGATAGATCAGAAACGGTGGGAGAAGCTGAGCATCGCCAAGGCTGGCTCAGACAATGAGCCAGAGGACAAGGCAGGTAGCTGTGCTATCAAGGCCTACACCTGTCATCTCTTACCTTCAGTAGTCTCGGCAGTAGTCCAGACCTCACACGATAGTGAGAGGGGAGATCAATCTCAAGACATTGCTGAGAGGGAGATCTGTTTGGCTTCGTACAATGATCTCAGGTACAGAATACCACTGTGCTAATCTGGATTAAGGGTGGGATTCAATTTATACAATTGCATGGTGTTTGCTTACATTGGCAGATTCCTGTTAAAGCATGATGATAGCAATCAAATTAATCCTAGCTCACTGAATTCTCTTTTCTAAACTGACCTCAGCCTCATATGATGTACAGATATTCAGGAGTGTGTGTTTTTAATAATAATGCAGACATGAAAATATGCTGTGCAACAGTCTAGACAATGCTCTGCTGATTTAGCTTTAGATGTCCGTTGCACCAGAATAGGCTGCCGGAGACTCCAGTTATAAGATATTAACCCCATTCACTGCTGAATTTATGCAAGTAAGACTGCTTTTGCTAACAATTTATTTATGCCCCAGTTTTTCCAAATTTATGACAGGGAATGCATTTCTACTTTAAAGGTAGATTCCCGGAAAGACTTGTGGAATCCTGTAGCGTAGTGGTTAGCATGCTCACTTTGCAAACGAGAGGACCTGGGTTCAATTCCCAGATAGGGCGAAACCTGAGTTTCCTTACTCCACACGCCTGTTTACCTAGCAGTAAGTAGGAACCCAGTTGTTAGTCAATTGGTGGATCGCTTTCCGGGGGTAATAATTTCCTCCCCCAAAATAATTTGGTCACTCACTCCACAGTTGTTTGTGGGACATTGCTGTGCGCAATTGGCTGCTGCGTTTCACCCACAAAATACAGAGTCAATCCACTTTACAGTATATTCGGTGAAGTGCTTTTTTAGATGTCTCAACAATATGATAAGGTGCTATATTACATGCAAGGATTATTATTATTAAATGTTTTCCTGGTATATGATCTCTGGTTTCAGAAAATGTGTTGTTGTGGGAAATTCAACAATGCAGCCCAGCGCAGCACTGTGAGCTCAAAGATCTGATCTGGGGCTTGAACGCACAATCTCTGACTAAAGTGCTACCAACTGAGCTAGGCTGATAACTGTGATTCCAAAATTGCAAGAGAGGTCAGATAAAGAAGGCTATTCGATCCATCTTATTTCATACTTCTTGAAAACGCAACCTCCTGTCCTTCTACCACAGCATCAAGCTGTTTTATTTTAATGAGTCCAGTGTCCTGGCCTCAATCACTGCTTACGGTAATACATTCTAGGTGTTATTTATCCTCTGGCTAAATAAATACTTTCTGGTATCCGTCCTGAAATTGCCGTTTCCAACCCTAAATCTGGGTCCTCTTGTTCTGCTGTCTTTGTGCATCCGAAAGTACTACAGCTGAAGTGGAGTAACGCTGCCTTCAGCAATAAAACGATAAAGGGCAGGAAAGCCTGATTTATATTTCCTCACTCCTGCTCACGTTGCCAGGGGCTGAGGAAAGTTTTGTGCAAGTGCAAAGTGATGATAAATAGGAGTTAAGATTCGTTACTTTATTAAAGAGGTTATTACACAATGATTTTCATTGATTTGAACCGGATGCATTTGATTCCGCCTGAAGACCTTCCTTTATGATCGTGCTTATGATCGCCTCCCTCTTCCTCTGGCTCAGGGTCAGACTCCGCCACTGTTAAGCCCCCACTGGGATGCTACCCAGCGTCAAGGGTGCTTTATAAATGCAAGTTGTTGTTGAGCTGTAGCTGTGCAAAGAAATGTGCTGTCAAACACACCTTCTGAAGGTGGTCTTGGTAATGGGCTGCAGCGTGATTCACTGGGACCTTGAGGAGCTCAAGCGTGCACAGCGTAAATCAGGCAAATGTTGAGAGTCCATTCTACACAAGTCTAAGGAGCTGAAAAACTGGGAGCTAGGAAAGGAGGCTTATTCACACAATACTACTCTAGCTCAGACTGAGTTACACCGATACGCCTTTCAGACCAATACCTCCTCCAGTTAAGCCAATAGTCCTTCACTAACAACAACAACAACTTACATTTATATAGCGTCTTTCTCGTCGGGGGGATGTCCCAGGGTTCTGGACGGTCAGGGATTTGGATCCGAGCTGGGGGTTGGGGTCAGGAGGGGTGGAGGGCAGGGAGAGCAGGGGTAGGAGGGTGGCTGAAGGCACGGGCGAAGAGGAGGGTCTTGAGACGTGCCTTGAAGGAGGGAAGGGAGGGAGAGAGGTGCAGGAACTGTGGGATGGAAGTCCAAAGGGTAGAAGCAGGAAGGCTGAAAGCCCGATTGCTGATGGTGGGGTGGGCCGGATGAGGAACATGGAGTAGGCCGGAGCCTGCTGAGCAGAGGGAACGGACATGGCCTTAGCAGGGAACATAGGTTGGAAGGAGCAACATCTTCCGAGTTACTAGAAATAAAGGTGGAACCCATTAGATTCTAGGTGTTATCCTCTGGCTAAATAAATACTTTCTGGTATCTGTCGTGAAATTGCCGTTTCCAACCCTAAATCTGTGTCGTCTTGTTCTGCTGTCAGCCAGGCTTCTTCAAACTGCCCAGGAATTGAGATTGATTAATAATAATAATCCTCAGATTTTGTATAGCGCCTTTTACATCAGGAGGACGTCCCAAGCGTTTCACAGGATGTATTGTAAAATGGAGTAGTTGTGTGTTCTGTCAGTGAATATCACGTTATGGGAGGTGGAGGAATTCAAGGTTGAGCTTTCAACATTTTTTTGTTAGGAATGAATTTGGGATAACTAATATCCAGTAGTAAATGTGAAGGCTTTTGACCGTTCTGATCAAGTAGCACATTGTTACTACTGTATGTTGCTTAACCCAACAGAGACTATGTAACCCAAACTCTGCAGACATGTGCATCTTACTCCTATAGTCATCATCCTCTTGGAAGATAAGAAAATATTAGTAATGGCCCATGGGAAAGATTGTTACTGTAAATGTGTGTGGGTGGGGGGATGGTAGAGGACTTCTCCATTTATAAGATTCAAAAGGATATGGGGTGAAATTTGTAATTTTTCATAACCTGTTCCTTGTGATAATTGTCACAGAAAATGCATTCTTAAAAGTTGCAATGTTCAATCAACAGTGTGAGATCTAACTCCAATTTTATCCTGCAATCTGAACACAGGTCTCCATTAACCTTTTTAACCAGTGAATTAATCTAAGATCCAAGTTACATTTCACCTCCAAAAGTCACAATTTGCTGAATGTTGAGGCTGTGCTTGCATAAAACTCACTTTTGTTCAATAGATTGCATTACGCGAGGGCAGAGTGAAGTGAGTTTGGTATTTAAGCATTGCAATGTGTTTGTCTCTGGTTTTCTGCTCAATTCTTCATCAATGCACCTCTCCTTCCAATAGCAGTAAACCCGAGGAAACCTTTACAGAAATGTGCACAGCTGAGTATTTTCGAAACCCTCCCTCACCAGTCCTGACCGTCCAGACTGTCAATCTGAACGAAAGCATTTATAGTTCTAGTGAGGGAGAGGAAGACGAAGGGAAGATCCCAGATTTGGAGAAGGATGACATGATGACACGCCGGATAGGAGCCACCTGCAAGGCAAAAGGTCCTGCCTTTCAGCAGTTCCTCCCAGTTCCCAGCTCACAAAAAGGGGAGTCAAAGAATGAGCCTCTTAAAGAATACGAAAAGGACACAAAGAATGTGAGGAGCTCCAAGGATGAAGCACCGTGGACGTGAGCTCTTTGTTTCTATATTTGTCATGGTGTCGGCAGTGTTTATAAACTTACTAATCAAAAGTGTGGAAATGCTTGTTCTGAAATAAATAAGCTCTTCAGCATGTGTTCGATCTTTGTCTTATCTGTGTGCCATGTTAACAACCACAATGCCGATATAGAAACTCCCACAGAAATACTAGACTGATACATGAACTCTGTTTTGCCTGCTTCTAGGCTTCTGCTTTTAACAGTGAAATGCTTTTTAATTTAGCGATTTATAATGTCCTATAGTGTGAGTTTTATTTTCACCTTGGAAATCTCCTTGACCCAGTGCAGATAAAATGTTTGTCATGGAATAATTCCTTGCGTGGGTTATTCCAGGGCCTAACAATAGTGCAATCCTCACATACTGAGCGAGTACTGCTCACAGTCCATTGTCCTGCTCATGATGCTACATGTCTCTTCTAGCCTGCCTCTAACTTAAATCACAGTGATAAATTGCAACTGAAACAAAAAAAACAGAAGGAACTAAGAGAGGGAGATACTCACCTGACATCACAAGATGTTATATTTTGCATACGATGATTTATTGACATTTGTTCAGTTTGTGTATTGTTTCCCATCTAAAATAACTTGCACTTAAATGCATCTTTTATTTAGGACGAACATCTCAAAGTGCTTTGTAGAACCTAGGAGTGTGTGAACAAGTAAAATTGTGAAGTAAAATAAGTGCTTTTTACCAGTTGGACCTTAGTCAATGTATCTTCTTTGGCACAGATTTGTTTACAGTGACACTCAGGTGTTTCCTAAAACATGATTAATTCTGAACGATTATCAGAGCCAATTTAGTACACCAAGGGCACTTTGTTTGCTGGTAAGTTTACCAACATTGGTGCTCTGTAGCTCCCTCTCTCCTCCTCTTCATATCTCTCCCTCTCTGTCTGTCTTTACTTCCTTCTGAAGGCCTACTTCTTCGACAAACACTTCTCCGTCTTCCTTGATAGGTGATTGAACCTATCGTTGTGAAGCACTCTGAGGTATCCTAGTGAAGGGTGCAATATAAATGCAAGTTATTGTTGTTGTCCTATTTCTTGTGAGTTTATAACTATAATGACCTTGATGGTGTGACTTTATAATTGGAAAATCCTAGCGGCTTTGAGCAGTGGTGGCACATTTTTAGAATAGCATACCATTTGGCAATTCTTCAAATTTTCACCCGATGTTTTGAAGACGTTCAAATCAATATTTCACTCAATTGGAAATCACCATTGGAAAGATTAAAGTTTCTACTACAGTGTGAGTGATAATAAATACTCAGGTGCTCAAGGATCTTACCAATTTACACTTGATTACTAAAGAGTTAAATAAAATGATGCATGGAAATGTTTTTTTTCATGCGTTCCAAATCACATTGTCCGTCTGATGATTGATAGGAATAAATTGAGACCTACTAATCTCCCTGATGTTATCTGGTAGAAATTGGATCTGAAAACTTGCTGCGAGTGTTCACAGGAAGTAAGCAGATCTGATGGCCAAAACTTGCCATTTGTCAACAAAAGACCGAGCCGAATGCTGACTGAATTTTGAAAGAAACAATTTCAAGCGTCAACTATGAATACATTTCACTTCACCTAGTTTACTGGTTATTATTTTGTTGTCATTCCAAACTTTTCCTACCAAAATAATTTTAATACTAAGAAGTGAAATGTTATTGCATGCATCAGATTCAGGGCTCAATGTTTTTCATTAACATTTGGCTGTTGTCTTTGTTTATTGTCGAATCATTGAAGTGGATTTTGACATTTGCAGCATCTGGTGATGAGAGCTTTCATCATTGGAGTTTAAACCATTCCTCATTTTGTCTGTGTAACAGAACAACAGGACAATAGGGTTGAAGTAACTTGGAAAAATATTTTGTATTGTATCTCGAATAAACTCCCAAACCACAGTTTCAGTCTTCATAACGATGCTGAATATAACTCCAACTTATATTTATATACATTTACATAGCGCCTTCCACCTTAGGAGGCCGTTTTAAGGTGCTTAACTTGTAAGAAAATCAATTGTTTTACTGCTCTATTTAGATTGAAATTGAATTGACACATTTGTTCAACTCAGCAAAAACCTTTTACCTAATAACTCACAACTTCTAACTTTGTATCCGATTTTTTAATAAAGCATGTGTGTTAGAGTGTAAAGGATGGAGGATCTAAAATGTGGTGATTTTCAAACTGGATTCCTTAATGAAGCAATTAGGATTTTTGTTCCAATAACCAGATGTTATGCACAACATGCCAATCTGTGGGAACCATGGGCCAAAGCCATTTTGGAGCTGAATTCCCGCAAGCCACTGTGATATACTTCTGATTTCCTTCATTGCATCCCAATATGTTAATACATAGTTCCAATCTGCACCGGTCAATAAAATGACTTTGTAACTTTTTTATGTCTTTAACGATATCACAGTAGAATTGTTATGTTGTAAGAATAAAATATCAATACATAATAGCAATCAGATATAATGTGCAAATGCATATTGGACTAAATACAGAATAAACTCCTCTGGTACTCGAAATATCCAAGTGTTGTTATGCAAAACTGGAAGATGCTGGGAGGCTGAACTGTAGTAAATAGTAAACTACATCAATAGAGTGGAAAGATTGATGTGAGTTGAGGTCTGTTTAATGTATTTGCTCCACTTTCAGATTACTGTGTTTTCTCATGCCATGAACCTTTGCACTCTGTTCCTTGACCGTTGCCAATGTGTCTTTGAAATCAGGCTCTGGAGATGAGGCTCAGAATTCTCCATGCACAGCTTAGAAGTCACCTGATGAAAAATATATGGTGGGGGGGAAGGTGGGGTGCAAAGTGCAACATTATCACAAGTGATAATTATCATATCAGCAGAATTTCCTGTCGATGTCCCAGTCATAAAAGTTCAATTAAATCGGTTTGTGCATCCTGACATTGAAGTGTCACTGGCAGAGTGGCAGATTGAATGGCGCCAGAGGAAAGCTCAATGACCATGTCAAGAGGCTTCAGGCCCAACCATCTTCATGCTATTGGGGGAAGGGGAATGTTCTCCATCCATTGACTGGACTATTGAGAGGAACCGAAGTTCTGCCAATGTGTTAAGTATTGGTATTAATTGGCACATTGAATGTCAAACTTTTCATCCTGTGGTGCGATTCTCAGCCCTGTTGAAATTCTTTTTCACTGGTCACTGAGTCAAGATTCTGCTAAAACACCTGTTACACAGGCATACAATTTTGGTATTACTGTCGAGGTGTTTTATGTTTAGTCTCAATGTTATGCATTTTTGATCTTTCATGTGTTTTGACATTTTTTTGTATGTTCTTTATATTTGGTCCCATAGATACAGTCCTACAGCTGCCCTTTCTGATGATGCAGGGTAAGTGGCATCTTGAGTTTAAGGGCTGCTGTTGAAAACTAATGGGATTATTGCATGCGCTTAATCCATTTTCATAACTGTTTACTAAACATCAGCAATAAGCGTGTTTGTCTGGGCCTGCGTGCTTTACTAGTGCACCTATGTACAGCTACCTGCAACAACAACACATTTTATAGGAAGCAAATGAGCAAATGATCCTGATTAAACAACACACTGTATATCAGAAAGTTGAATGCAGTACGACACTGTGCTGTTTGCATTAATAAGCAGGATACTTAGTTAATAATTTGAAAGAAATAGCTGTTACACACATAAATGCTTCTGTGGTTTACACGTTTTTACACTAGTAAATTAAATTGACGCATCTGGCTTTTGGTTTGATATCACAAATTACTCCATAAGAAAAACAAGCTAAGAACTACCTGAACTTGAAACTAATCATATTTTCTTGGTGCAGATTTGTGCTCTTTAACCCTTTCTATGCCAACGAATTGAGCTTCTTGTTGTATGTTTGCATACGCACCAATACCTGCACTGAAGAAAAAAGCTTTTTCCTAAGCTTTCCTAAGCTTCTTTTCACAAAGCAAAGGGCGGTATCGGCCACAACTGTGAGGATAAGTGACTCAGCTGATTTCTCTGCCACTCTCTCTGGTGTATGGTGGTTTGGTGGGGGAGGTTCAGGTTTTATTTTGCATGCTATGGGGTGAACAATGAAAAATGTCATGTTGTAATTATCACCTTTTGCTTCTGGCAATATCCTGGATGATAACTCACAAAGAACCCCCTTAAAACAGTGCTTTAGAATTTTATTCTGCAGAGTTCTGAAATGATGCAGAAAATTGCCTGTTTTAACTTACTACAATCAAGCACTCAAAACTCAATGATAAGTTTACACTTTTACTGTGTTAAAATTGACATCTGAGTTCATATTAAATTGATGTTTCCCACATCTCTTGAACTCCTTGCCTTAGTCCCTCAATCTTGTCCACTCTTTGCCTGTCTTCAAATCACACCTGAAGACTTTTCTCTTCGACTATGCCTTTGGTCACCTTCCCTCCTTTTCACTTTACAGTATATTTTGTGAAGCGCGTTGCGAAGTCTTGAAGACACGATAAGGCACTATATCAAATGCAAGGATTATTATAAGGGTAATACTCACCATATGTAGCATTCTGGAACTTCTCCTGGGAGCAGCTGTGAAGTTTCAAGAGATGGAGAGTGTGAAATGTATGCAAACTCTCGTACTACTAATTCTCATATATTTCACCATTTTACCATTTAGAAACTTTACTCCAATTATAACAGTCAAATGCAGAAGAGCAAACAATGCACTTTGATTGTGAAGTTGTAAGGGAGGTTTAAGTGGGGCTGAAGGAATTATTTAATTTAATCAATTATTTAAATCTCAATCTGCAGCTGCAGCTAGATTCGTAATAAAAACATTTTCCATGAAGCATCATTTGACATCCTGGAGCAATTATAAATATGTGAGTAAATAGGACCTGTAGGTTGATATAAAATCACTCAGCTTCTAGCACCTCAATGTTGATGGAATTCTCATTATACTCAGAAATTGGTTCTGAATATTTCATCCTTCCTCACATGGCCTCGTAAAGTACAGCATGTATTTTATTGACCTAGTTTTGAGGACTCACATTGTATCTGAATTGGGGAATGCAATGATGTGTGAATAAAAGAATGTACATTTTCAAAGGCATTTGACAAAGTGTCTCAAATAAAACCAGTTGAGAAAATTAATGCACATGGTTTTTAAAGTAGATTGGAGTCTTGGACAGAGGAAACATGAAGTACCATGGGGAGGGAATTGGGGGTTAGACTTGATAGCTCCTATAAAGTCAGTGGACTGAATTGCCTCCTACAGGTGCAATTTCTATGGGCTGAATGCATGTCACTGTAAATTACACTGGCTCTTATTCTAATTTGTTTCGTAAGGTGCCTGCTGCTCAAAGAGAACAAATGTCATGAATCAAGGCTGCACCAACTCTCAATGGAAATGGAACAGCATGAGCACTGTTAGATTTTCTGTTGTTTTCACACAAGAATGAGGAGACAAATTGTCCATTCATTCATAATCCCTTATCACTTGGTTTATGTGCATCATGTTCCTGTGAGCACAGACAAAGGCAGATACTTCCATAACATCTTCCTGCATATAAGTTTTTTATTCACCCCATATGTTGTGTGACAGTGGTCATATTTTAGCTTGGGAGTGGAGATGGACTTGGCTGATTTGATGATCCATTAAACATTATATTAGCCTGTAGGGTGTTGTGATGAGAAGCTCAAGTCATACAGGGCTGATTGATTTACATTTGTCTTTAACCATAATTTTGTTAATTAAACTGCATGGCTTGTGGCACTTTATTCAGATGACACGCGTTTGAAATGATGTGCGTGTTTCATTCTCACTGTATTTTTTTAAACCCTTCAGAAAATATGGAGACCATACTAGCTTGCACTTTTTGAAGTTTTAACTTTTCATGTCCCTTTCAGATCGTAAATCAGAACAAATAATAAGCAGGAATGCTTTGAGCACTAACCCATCTGTTTTTAACTGAAAACATCAGTGAAAGCAAATCAGGCATAAATTTGTACCACTTTTGTTGCTGGCTCTCCGTTTGTTTCAGATGTAACTCCCTCACAGAAATATCCCGTCTTCAAGATATTCTAGTTCTGAATGGGATCCCATTGGCCATTATCTCGCAATCTGGAACATTTCCCCCTCAATAATCTTTCTCCTTGACGTTTGGGACATTGTTACTCCACACCACTGTTGTAAGAAAGTTTGTGAAAATAAAATCAGATTGATTCAATAATATGGCATTCAATCCTTGAACTAGGATATTTGATTTTTCCTTTTGATTACTGCAATTGTAATGAATGCACTCAGCGCTGGTTGAGGAGATTTGACTAAATCTTAAAAAAAAACTCACATAATCAAACTAGTGTCTGATATAACCTAAGCAGGATAATGGAGAGTTATGTTTCTTTTCCACAGTGGTTTGTGAAAGTACATTTTCTATTTTTCAAGACTTCAGATCTTAACTATACACGTTCATTGACATAGGAACTTCCTGAAAGACTGACTTTTTATTCTTAAGAAAGCAGTTTAGTGTCACAAATTTACATTGAAACAAGTTGTATCTATCACATTGTTGTAAAACTTGCCAGAAGCTTGGTCAATTCCAAATGAATCACATCTATCTTACGACCGAAAGTTGTAGTTGTTTGTCAGTATGATGCTCAGAATGTGTCCTCCTGGTGAGATACAAATTGTCTTCATAGGAAGAGCTGAGGAGTCTTTCACTGCACTTGCACTCCCATAGTGGGGACACGTATTCCTGAAATTACACCATCTCTGGGTGAAAGAGAAAGATTTTGAGAGATTCAGTATGTTTTTCTCCTACCTTGCAGAAGTGTCAGCATGAACGACATGAGGCCTGAAGATGACACTCTGGTGGAGCCGCACAGCAAAGCCCGACATGAGGAAATACGCAACATTCACAATCGGTTGCGTGAGGAACAGGACAAATGGCAAGATGTAAGGCCTGAAACAAAGAGAATCCCCCCTGACAATTCAGTACTTCACTACACTACTGCTAAAACCTTACCAACCCACCTAGCTGCTCTTTCCGCACAGCATGCTTCACGTCCCCCAACTGTTTTCTCCACCATCGGAGATCAGATCTTCAGCCTTTCTGCCACGATCTTCTAGAACTCCTTCCTGGAGTGCCTCCCCCTCACCCTTTTCCTTGCCTCCTTCAAGGTCCGTATCAAGACCTTCCTCTTTGACCGTGACTTCAGTCATCTTCACCCCCACCAAAAACCTTGCCCTCCACTCCTCTTGAATCCTACAACAACAACTTGCATTTATAGAGCAGGGCAGCGACTTGGAGCGCTTAACAGTAGTGGAGGCTGACGCCAAGCCATGGGGAATGAGATGACCGTAAACACGGTTGAAGAAGAAGGTCTTCAGTTAGGATCTAAAAGATTGGAAGGAAGGGGCAAGACGGAGGAATTGGGGAAGAGAGTTCCAAAGCTTTGGGATGTGGTGGCTGAAAGTGAACCCGAGCTCGGGTGCAAACCCTCAAATGTCCAGCTTCTTGGGAAGTCCTCCCTACATGAAAGGCGCCACAAAAATGCAATTTGTTGTTATTCTTGCACGCAAAAAAACTGGATGGAAATGAGATGTTCTCATTTATTCCATGTTTGTTGAAAAAAATCAATATTTTTATTTGTTACAGCAAAATTCTAATTTGTGTGCAGAAAAGACAACAAATCGGGTTTTGATTTTATCAGTAAATTTTCCTTCTGTAAGATCGATCTATTTATTCATGTTCTTGGTTTCTTACTTACTGGAGTTCTGTAGCTCAGTGGTTAGAGCACTCGCCTCGCAAGCAAGAGATCTGGGTTCTTTTCCCGGCAGGGCGAAATGTTTGGCAAGTTTCCTTATTCTACACGCCTCCGTTTACTTAGCAGTAAGTAGGAACCCAGTTGATAGTCGATTGGCGAATCGCTTTTCTGTGAATAGTAATCCCTAAAAAAAACAAAAAAAATAATTTGGTCACTTCAATCCACAACTGTTTGTGGGACTTCAATTTGCCGTGTTTCGCCCACAAGTACACAGTCAATTCACTGTACAATATATTCTGTGAAGCGCTTTGAAACATCCAGAAGACGTGAAAAGCGCTATATCAAATGCAAGGATTACTATTATTATTCAGCTAGCCTCTCGCTGTACTTTCTCACAACTTTCCCCCATTCTCTGACATTCGCTCTTCTCCATAAACCTCCATTCTTCTTTACCAGCTCCTTTTGAGATATTATGTCCCCATTCTTACATAAATCAATTGGTGGTTTAATGTAGAATAATACAGTTCCTTATTCTTGTTAAAATGTCAGCCTGATGGGTCAATTTGCCATTTACTTCATATTCAGAAACCTGAGATATATATGCCCGTTATTGAGTAAAAACATGGGTATGAATTGCTTCACTTATCCACTGCAGGCCAGATTTTCAACTAAATTGGCACAACTGCTATGCTTAGTGATAATGTTTCTCTGGAACACATAAACCCCTTTATGCTCCCTTCCATCCCCAGTACTTGTTAGCACTTCGAATGAGATGTTAAACTGAGGTCTCGTCTGCCTGTTCAGGTTGATGTTAAAGAACCCATGACACTATTCGAAAAGAGAAGGGAGTCTCTCCTGGTGTCCTGGCTAATAATTCCCCCACCCACCCCCAATAAAATTTGTCACTCACTCCATGGCTGCTTACGGGAAATTGCTGTGCACAACTGGCTGCCATGTTTTGCTCACAAAATAGTCAGTGCACTTTACAGTACATCCTGTGAAGTGCTTTGAGATGTCTCAACAGCATTAAAGGCACTACATTCAAATGCAAAAATTATTATTGTTATATGTCATTGAAATTTTTGTGCAGAAGCAAGCGTTTTTGCAGAGCTCTGGGAGCCCATTTATGAGATTCTGGAGCAAGCAGTAAGGTGGATTTGTGGTAAAAATAAAAGACAAACTAAAGGAGCTTTGTCAGCTTCTCTTGACTGCCTCCCTCCCCATCCAGCCTCTGCATAGAATAAATTATCCCCTTCTAAGATTACTGACAACAGGATAAGCTGTGAGGCAATAGCATGTGCTAAAACAAGGTACAAATGTAAGCCTTGTCTGCATTACTGAACAGTGAACTTTCCAATTTCAGTGTAACTGAAAATATTTAAGATGTGCACCAGAGGAGAAGAAAGCTAGGTTTCATGGTGCCAGCCATTGTGTGAAGAAAGTATTCTCTGCTTTTATTTATTTTGCCAACAAAATACAGTCAATGCACTTTACCATTTGTCCCATGAAGCGCTTTGAGATGTCTCCCAATGTGAAAGGTACTGGATAGAATGTAAGGATTATTCTAAAATCCAAAAATGTTTATTTTACCTAGGACCTAGCTCGCTGGAAGAGTCGGAGAAGGAGTGCCTCCCAGGATCTTATCAAACGAAAGGAAGAGCGGGAATTTGTGGAAAAAATAATGAGTGGAGAGCAAAATTTATCTGACAGACGGAAGAGCATCAAAACATACAAGGAAATTGTAGAGGAAAAGTATGTTCTTTGTCATTTTCATATTCTAAACATGTTTTATCAGTGGGCCTCGCTAGGTGGTGGTGATCAGCAGTCAGTTGTATTGGGGTTGGAAAGAGCTTGAATGGGCAAACCACAATATAAATCTTGTGAGGATTACAGACTCAGCACCTCTGGACATATTATGTGTCCATATATGTAACCGTGGTCACCGGTCTTCAAAAACCTTGCTCTGAGATGGTCTTGATTCACCTTTAAAGTTGATTTAAGATGGTGCAGTCTGAAATGACAAGTGCTAAATGCACTGTGACAAAGATTCAAAGGCGCTGCGGCTTAACAGCTGCCGAGAATGGCCATTTTAATGAGGTCAAGGGGAGGTGTGCTGCCCGTGGTTGTTAGCACTGGGATAGGAGCTGAACTGGGAAAGGAGTCATTGTGATAATTGGCACATCACATACCAAGTTTTTTCACCTACAATATGTAATGTGTAAAAGGAAAACCGAGGGAATATAGTTATATTTAGTAGTTAAGCAATTTGTGTGATTGTTTTAAAATAGTTGATTTTTAGACAAGATAAAAAGGTAACGGGGAAAGATGGGGGAGTTGGGATTAGAGTATATAAGTCTGGAGGAGAAGCTGGCACTAGCATAACTTGATGGGCCGAATTGCTTCTTCTGTGCTGTAATTTCCATGAATCCAAAACATTGTATGAGAAGTTTCTAGGTATGAAGCTGATCTAAATTATTATGTGATCTGCAAACCTAATTATCCAGCTGTGTAAAGTGCTTTGAGACGTCCTCCTGACTTGAAAGGCTTTAGAAATATATTTTGCATTATATTGTACGTAGTGTTTTATAAAGGTGATGTGCCACTCCACTCAATTTAACAACCCCAATGCAAACGGTAAGATGCACACTGTACTTTGCATTGCACTGCAAGATCACTGTTCTCTTGGTAGAACTGTCCACCAAGGGGAAGGCAGTGAGAGACTTCTTCATGAAGTTGTTTGCCAAATACGACCTGCTTTTTTATTAGATGCATCTCGTGCAATTTTAAAACTGTGTGGAGGAGAGGAGATTTAAAATGTTTCTCTTTTGTGCTGTCATTTATAATAATAATCCTTACATTTTCTAAAGTGTCTTTCACATGGGGAAAACATCTCAAAGTGCTTCCAGGTATTTACTAGTTGAGCGTAGTAACTGTGTACAGTAAACCTCACATAAGTCATATCAGTTGTGACCATACATTTAATATGACTTCTGCAAAGCATGAGTTATGTCAAACCTGCATAGAATATAAACTCTTGAATAGGACTTGGGCAGATGTACGATTTAGCCAATTATATGATTTATACAGATCAGACTTATGCAAGTTTTGCTGTATGTTGTAGGCGAACACTGGTCAATTTGTGATGAGTATTGTCCTACAAACAGCCATGAAGTGAATGACCAGTCAACTCTATCACTTTGTTTTGACTGTATAGAGAACGCAGAGAGAATGAGCTTCAAGAGGAGTACAAGAAAGCAAGAAACCCTGAAGAAGCTCAAGCCATTCTGAAACGATACTCTCAGAGATTTATCATCAGCGAAGCTGTTCTGGAAAGCTTGCAGTTGCCAAAATGCCTGGAGAGAAGCCAGTCTGTAGATTCGGACTCTTCATCCTCACCAACAAAAGATACTAATGTACTCAAGTACTTACGGCAACAGTCTCTGCCGGCCCAAAAATATACTGCCACAGTCGAAGCAATGATCATTCCCCCCAGCCAATCGCAGCTGAATTTTTCCACAGGGTTAACATCTCCGACCAGAACTGTTGCCTCAAAGGCAGTGCCTATGTTAACTCCCAAGCCTTATTCACAACCAAAAGATTCACAGACGGTGTTGAAATCATTTAAGGTAGGAAAAAAATACCCATGTAACTTTACAGTCATCAGGCTTTATCTCATGGTCTGGGCTGGATTAGCACCCAGGCCCGACTGTGTACCCAAAGCCCCAACTATTTTAAATTTACGAAGAGGAAATAAAAACTTAAATATTGTATAATAGCTTGGCTGTCTCCACCTCAGAGGACCATGTAGCAAAAGGCACTTGCGGAAGCAATGAACCTATCAGATAACTAAGTGAATGAAATGATTGCCTCTTTTGCTGAAAAAGCTACTTAAGAGTCATTCATATTTGGCCCTGAATAAGTGTTATTTTATTTACATTTGGTTTTAACATATCATGTTTTGTAATTCACATTTTTACGAGAATTGTATATTTTCTTGAGGTTACATTCAATAAGGTACAGATTTCAAATTTGCAATTTGTAGGATACTCGTTTCTGATTTGATGACCTTGCAAAAACTTCAGAGTGTTGTTTCACAGATCTGGGGTGAGGGGAACTGACGATCTAATCTTAATTCTTTTTCTTTGTAGGTAGACGGAAAAATTAAGATGAATGGAGAAACCAGCCCGACATTTACCAGAGTTGAAGGGAAAGAATGCACATCTGTGGTTTCTGCTCTATCCCTTACCAAATCACAGATGTTTGAAGGTGTAACACAAGTGGACTGCCACCCATTAATATCACAGACTGATGATGGCAAGCTTGCGGCCAGACCTGAACTTGTGAATTGTCTTTCAGTCAACAACAAGGAGAATAAAGCTACAGAGAAGGTAATGCTGGAATTTAATAACAAGCGGCTCCTGTCAGAATGCTTTGCCTTAGTCCCTTTGGCACCACTCTTAAGATCTGGCCTTGCTGATCTTCTAATCAAGGATCCTTTATGTTGCCAGGTTTAAGAAAAGGATAAATACTGTGATGTGAATTCAGCTGTTTGTAACAGTTTGGGGTCATGACTACATTCATGAACCAATGGCACATTTCTGGTCCAAAGCTTCAAACCCTTCAAACTCAATTGGAAAGCTGTCATCATTTATTTACTGTAAACAACATCCGTTGACAGCGGGTAGCTGCCAAATGATGTCAGTCTCACAATGTGTTTGTGCATGTTGTTTAAGGAGCATTACTTTACAGTAAAGTAACGTACAGTAATGCTTCGAGACATCCTCCTGATGTGAAAGGCACTGTTTCAGTTGCAAAGATTATTACAACAACTTGGCTTTATATAGCACCCTTCATGCACGATAGCTTCTCGGTGCGAAAAATTGGGATTAATTAATCCTGCTGAGGAAGAGAGAGAGAGAGCACAGCTATTAGAATTATTAGGCCTAGAAATACACATTCACTGCATTTCACAGAAACTTTGTGAAGTGTTTTGAGATGCCCTGTCTAGGTGCTATATCTAATACAAAGTGCGAAATGCAAAGCTTACCATTTTAACTAGGATTGTTTTTTGTTGAGTTAAACTTCATTTCCATTAACTGGCACTTCAATGCTGCGGATCACTAAGTGATGGTTTGGGCTTGGACAACGTGATGGAGTATGTGGATAAATGAACACCACAGGCTGTAACTTTCACCCCATTATGTTCAGGCTGAAACTTTTTTATATAGCACATGATGTTCTTAATTCTTCATCCAAATTTTTTGAGAGTTATTTGATGCAATAGCGAATTCTCTTGTATCTGCTACTCTGTGGGGAATTTATTTCCTTATCTCTAGTCCTAGCTACAATATAACTTTTTAATTTCAAACATAGCATTTCATTCTACTCTCACTGTGTAAGCCAAATATCCTACTCGCATCACAGCATTTTAAAGATCTTTATCAGGTCACCCCCTCACACTCCCTGTGTGTTTTTTCTAATGAAAACACATTTGATCTTCACGGTAACTTTATTCTGTAACTGATCACTCCTTGTGTGTGCACATTATGTACTTTCATTGTGGTGGAGATGTTTTGAGTTATGTTGGAATTTCTCACCACTAATCTGTGGCTGCTTTCCTCTAGGAGGGCACTGAGACGTCAGTCAGTATTGCCATCACGCAAAAGATAAGCACAGAGGAGAAATCTGACTCGAACTTGTCCTGTAATGAGATTGAAAGACAGATTGCAGTGGACGCAGCACAAGAAGGTATGAGGCTTATTTTCAAACAATCGTAAAGAAGCTTCTAAGTCAGCGTGCCCTGATGTGATATTGTACAAGTTTGGACTTTCTTCAATTAACTGTTTTCAGAACAAATTGCTTTGCTTCTATAAGACATTTTTCACATGTTTGTATTTTAAATTAGATCTTGGAATTTGTTTGAAAGTACTAGAGAAACAATTTTGTTTGGGGTTTCTATAAATGTGCATCTGATTGTGTTACCGACATGCATATGTGCTTGCGTAATGTTGGTCATCATGACAAACTAGTGATTATTCGCCTTGGAAGGGACGTAAGTAGGGTTTCCTTGGAGATGAGCTGTCACTCTTCTGTGGTGGTCTTGGTTGTCTAACTCGCCAACCTGCATCTAGTATTTTACACTATGAGTGGGGGATGGGGGTGGATCATCCCTGCAGGAAAAGAGTGTGCATTCCATCCCAGACACAGAGACATTTTCATGCTTAAGTTGCATACATATGTGAAGCTGTCAGTCTGAGTTGGATACTCTTAAGCATGGTGATTGGTTCCCGCAGATGTCAGACAGCCGTCTGACCAAAAAAATCCATTCCTATTTGCCAATGATCTCGATTTTTCTTTTTGATCAGCCCAGTGTCTGACACACGAGGAAACCTATCATTATACTTAAGAGTATCCGAACCAAACTACTGATTATTTAAAGGGAATTTTCTGCCCAACAATCCTGCAGATAAAATTGGTCATTTTACTTCATCGCTGTTTGTGGCACATTGTTATGCTGCTGTGTTGACCTACAAAATACACAGTCACTACAAAGCGCTTTAAGACTCCTACAGATATGAAAGACTCTTATCAAATACAAGGATGTTTTACTGAGATTTCATGGATTGAAATGTCTTCCCAAGGAAGGAACTGTCAGTTAAGGCAAGGACCTAAATGGAGCCTGGATCTATGAAACTGACAAATGAAAGATAAAGGCATTGGAAAGACTTGGTTGTTCTGAAAGACAAACTCATTTAGGTTTAAACAATTTTACTTCATGGCAGATTGTAAGGAAGACCATCGATGTTATTCAGAAACATCAACTCCACATGATGTGTTTTCAAGCAATTTGGATCCAAAGAATGCAATTGTGACTGAAGGGGTCACTGATAAAAGTGTCTCCTTAAATCATGAAGGGGAAGAGCCCAGGGAGAGTGCACAGAAGTGGCATGTACAAGAGGTAAATACAGATTCACAATCACAATAGAGGATTGGACGAGGAAGTCCCTTTGCCCCATTTTATTTCATCCTTCCAGAATACCCTGTTATAATAATGACTGTTTGTGGGACACTGCTGTGCACAATTGGCTGTCACATTTCGCTCACAAAATATACAGTCATATCACTTTACAGTATATTCTGTGATGCGCTTTAAGACGTCTTGAAGACGTGATAAGGAGTTAAATCAAATGCAAGTATTATTATTACCCATTTTTATCTTTTTCCCATTACAGATTCAAGCTGTTTCCTAAGTGATTTGGTCTTTACCATCCTTCCTGAAAACCCACCTCCAGCAGTTAATCACCCTCTGAAACACTTTCTAGTGTCTGTATTGCGATTGCCTCGTGATATTTAACATGTACCCCATTATGCTGCTGCCCTGGGAAAGCTAAAAATATTCTTTTGGGTGTACTTTCATTATCCCATTTATCATCTTATGTACCCTGTACACAAGATGTACAGGATACATAAGATGAACCCTCGTGGAGTCCTGTAGCTCAGTGGTTAGAGCACTCGCTTTGCAAGCGAGAGACCTGAGTTCAATTCTAGGCAGAGCGAAACCTTGGGCAAATTTTCTTACTCCACACGCCTAATAATAATCCCTCCAAAACCAAAAACAATAATAAATTGGTCATTTTCAATCCATGACTGTTTGTGGGACATTGCTGTGCGCAATTGGCTGCCGCGTTCGCCCACAAATATACAGTCAATTCACTTTACAGTGTGTTCTGTGAAGCGCTTTGGGACGTCCTCCCGACGTGAAAAGCGCTATATCAAATGCAAGGATTATTATTATTAAGATGGTGTCTTAGCTTAGTGGTTGGAGCACTCGCCTTGCAAGCGAGAGACTGGGGTTCGATTCCCAGCAGGGCGATATGTTGGACAAGTTTCCTGACTCCACATGACCTAGCAGTAAGTAGGAACCGGATTTTTAGTTGATTGGCGGATCGCTTTTCTGAGGGTAATAATTCCTTCAAAAAAAATAATAATAATTGGTCACTTCACTGCATGACTCGCCACGTTTCGCCCACAAAATATACAGTCAATTCACTTTATAGTATATTCTGTGATGAGCTTTGAGACATCTCGAAGACATGATAAGGAGCTATATCAAATGCAAGGATTATTATTACCCCTAAAAGGTTTCCTCGGTCACGTTTTTTTAAGGCTGAAGAGGCTTAGATTATCCAGCCAGACTTAGATTATTCAGATGAAGTCCCTGATTTCAAAAGCTGTTTATTAAAATTTCTGGTTGTGTTGCAATAAGATATTTTCTTAAATAAGGGAAAACTTGCAGATTTTTGTTGGGGTTTTCCAAATTCCAGTTTTGTTTCTCCAGACTAACTCGTTGCAGAGCAATGCATTTTTTATGAGCAGAAAGCCAACCTTATCTGATGAAGCTTATAAGACAGCTCGAGGTTATTCATTGTGTTTTAAACAAAACAGATGTTGAACCAGGGATACTTCAACAAGATAAAGCAGGTGATGCGCTGGACTCAGCTCAGAGAATAAAAAATCCTGACAGTGAACTGGACGACAAGAACCATCAGCCTGCAGATGTTGCTGAACTTCAAGGTGAGGCACAATGAAGCACAGAGAAGAGAAGTTGTTGAGATAATTACTACAGTCTTCATTCCATCCAAGGGATAAAAAATTAACGGTGTGTTCCTATGGATGCAGTGTACTTTGTTCAAAAATATTGCTTTGATTTTAAAAACATTCTACGCTCATCCATGCACTGTTGCAGGCATCCTTACTCCAATGTGTCCAGTAACCTGACTGAAAGGTGACAATACTCCTTCATCTGGGAGGCTGGCACATTCAATAGAAAGGCCTGACCTTTGAATCATTGGCCAACCCGGTTGAATGAAAGTTCTCTGCCACTTATTATATGTATTACTCACTTAAAAATAACAGTTGCAAACATAAAAATCTAAGCAATATATGATCCCTGGATCCTTGGTCGATAGCGTTTGCTGAGGTTTGTGGTATTTGAACAGTCATAGAATTCAGTTTGGGAAATGAAATTGTCACAGGTGCCCCACACTTGAAGTGCTCATGAATTATACAGGAATGATTGGGAAATGATTATCTAGAAAGTTACAGCACAGAAATAGGCTGTTTGGCCTAATTAGTTTGTATGGTGTGGTTATACAAGGTTGGGCGAGGGGTTTCCACCCCTTCTCATTATCCCTCTGTTCCCACTGGATGATAGGTATATTTTATCAATGTGGATTTTATATATTTTTTGCTGAAAGTAATTTCATAAAAAGGTAAGCAATTTTGCTGCAACATTTGTTTTCACAATTCACAGGGATTTACACCATTAAACAGTCCTTATTTCAGTGACAAACACCATTTTTATGTGCTTCATGCGTGAATTGAAAGCTGTTAGCATTCACATTATAATTCAGGGATAAGGACAATTACATCCTTAATTCAGTGCACTTAAATTAAATCACAGGAAAGTGTTATTTTAAATATGCAGAAGATCAATCCTGTGTTACTTACGTGACAAGTATCACAATTGTAGAATGAAGGACAATTTTTACAACATCTAATTGTCTCAACTACAGTATATTTAAGGAAGATTTAAAAATACCCTTTTTCAGATAATGACCTGTTCACAGCTTTAGCTAGGAATTGGAGATTTTCTTTAGATAGTCTACACATTACAAACTATATAGCTGATAACCATCAGTCCTTGAACTGTCTCTCCATAGAGAGACAAGAGACGAGTATTTTTCTTCTGAAATCTCATGTTATAGATCACGTTTCTTTATAGTTATCAATGATAACTATAATTATGGTTCCAGAGAGATAACAGTGGGAAAATTGTAGTTATCAATGATATTTTAGCCAACAGTCTTCCAGATTAAAAATGTAATTCACTTCAGGGCATTTGTGTGACAATAACAACTTGCACTTATATAGCACACTCCACCACACAGATTAGCGTCTCAGAGCACTTAATTAAATGAATGTAACAAACTTTGAATTGCTTTAAGTGCATGGATTTTCTAAGCTTCACTGATTACGCTTAAAGATCCATTATCTGTTTGTGTGACATTACTGTGTGCAAGTTGGCTGCCGCAACTGTCTGCAAAAGCACAGTCATTACACTTTATAGAAAACTCTGAAGTGCTTTGAGGCATTTTAATACATCAAATGCCTGGTTTATTCTATTAATAGCAATTTAAAAATATTTCAAATAATGAGATTTATGTTACTTGTGCTATTTTTCATGACACGTTAATTGTATTGTAACCGACTGAATGGTACTTAGAATTTCAGTTCACCAGAGTGAATAGATATGATGCTGATTATTTTTTACCTTTTCCCCCCCATCTTCATTTGTCCTATAGCTCAGTGGTTAGAGTACTCGCCTTGCAAGCGAGACACCTGGGTTCAATTCTAGGCAGGGCGAAACCTTGGGCAAATTTCCTTACTCCGCACGCCTAATAATAATCCCTCCAAAGCAAAAACAATAGTAAATTGGTCATTTTCAATCCATGACTGTTTGTGGGACACTGCTGTGCGCAATTGGCTGCCGCGTTTTGCCCACAAATATACCGTCAATTCACTTTACAGCATATTCTGTGAAGCGCTTTGAGACGTCGAGAAGACGTGAAAAGCGTTATATCAAAATGCAAGGATTATTATTATTATGATTGATACAAGCTAAGGTTCCATGAATACTGTAAGGCTCTTATATCTCCCCAATTGTCCAGTCTCTAAGTGTGACCCAAGAAAGTGAGTTTCATCAGGTTATCAGACCATGGGAGATTTGTGCTTAACTGTGGTGTTAAGCACAAATCTGTCCACATTCAATATAGTTTCCATGAGGAATAATGGATTGTGAAGCAGAGTGGGGATTCTAGTTTATTTCTATTCTAAACTCTAACAAATTGTAGCAGTCTTCTCAGTGGCGTGGTTTAGAACAGCCAACTCACTGCAGACGAGCAGTAACGGATCTTCCTGCAATTATTATAGTAAGAGCAGGATAGTTACAAATCCAACCTACTAGAAGATTGAACAAGGTGGATGCATAAGAAATTACTTCTGAAAACCTGGAACAATAAAAGGCCGTTCTGCCCATTAAGGCTGCTCCCTCCACACCTCCTGCATGACTAGCCTAGCTTTGCACCCTCCTTGGTTCATCTCCAATTTCAAGGTAACTGTGCATTATATTAAGTGAAATGTGATGTGTAAACCGTGCTTCGGGCATTATTTTACATCCCAATATAAGAATCCTTAGTCAGTGGTGTGATTTACAATGTATTTATTAAATATTGAACACCAAATAAGAGGCTGAATTGGGTAAAGTTTTGCACTGGATTTAGGTATTTAATAATGGAGTCTAATTTGTAGTCTGGGCTAACAACCCATGGGGGAACATTTGTCGATTCAATTACCCATGTGCAAACACATACAGGTCTCCCTAATTATGTGACTAACAACTAATGAAAAGAATTATAGAATCACCTGAATTCTTTGCATTAACTGTTAATATGGAGACCTGTAGCTCAGTGGTTAGAGCCCTCGCCTCGCCAACGAGAGAGATGCCCGGGCAGGGCGAAAGGTTGGGCAAGTTTCCTAACTCCACACACTTCTGCTTACCTAGCAGTAAGCAGAAATTCGGTTGTTAGTTGATTGGCGGATCGCTTTTCCAGGGGTAATAATCCCTACAAATAAATAATTTTTAAAAAAAATATTATTTGGTCACTCAATCTATGACTGTTGGTGGAACACTGCTGTGTCCAATTGGCTCCATAGTTTCAACCATAAATTATACAGTCAATTCACTTTACAGTATATTCCGTGAAGCGCTTTGAGATGTCTTGAAGATGTGATAAGGCGCTATATCAAATGCAAGGATTATTATTATTAATTAAAGAGATGTGGAGTTCCCTCACTGAGTTTACGCATGATTAACCTAAGCCGCAAATTAGAACCCGTTATCTCTATGAAACTTCAAACTGTAGCTGAAATTGTGGACCCAAATTGTGTATGCTACAATCCTAGATCCATAATAACTGTTTTTACTCCAAATCTTAGATTGTCACATATGCAATACAAATACGAACCTTTGAAATGGGCGTGCAAAGTTCAGATATGTTCTCATATCTTAAGTTCCCAGAAACAAATAGTAGCATTTTGTTGAAAGACATTCTTTTATGATTTTTGTTCCTCTTTTATTTTGCTCTGTTACCTACCATAGAGCCACCTAACCCTGCCAGTGTTCCGCTTACAGTTCGGAACTCCTGGCGACGCTCAGAGTTTTTCTCACAGTCAGGTAAAATAAATGCTCTGCAGTTTCCTCCTTTTGGTTTGCTTCCTTGTTCCTGGGAATGCTTTGGGATACACTAATGATCACACGAGTCACCTTCATTCCCTGCTTTCCTGGACTTGCCTGAATCATCATCTACTGCATAGTTGCCAATGTACACCAAGCCAATAGGATCATAACAATTGTTACCTCCATTCTATTAAGCACCATATGGTTCCTAGCATTATTACTAACTATATTAAGGGATATGCTTCATTGCATTCAATAGGCTTTTCCCATTTTCGTACGTTAAAATCTTCTGGGCTCCAGATAACGGCAGAAATCAGACCTTCTCCCATGAGGTACAGGATAGGTGTCAATACTGTCTACCCATTGCTAAGCTTTCCAGTTCTTGTGTTTGTTGGTTAGTTTAAAGGATAATGTGTACATCATGTTTTGTGATTATCAGATGTCTCACTTCTGTCTCACATCATGTAATTTGCTTTTGTTTCCAATGCCATTTGGCAGCCCACAAAGCACAGTATGTAACTTGGTGAGGTTGGCAACTATGCACAATGCAAACTCTCCAAACTTGGGACGCAGATATGTTCACCCTACTAACTTGCTTGTTTTCCTATTTCAGGTGGCAAAAATAATTAGCAGGCGGCTAAATAAGAATTAGAACAGGATGTTGTCATCCCACAAATGTTCTAAGATCCAGAGCTGTGTTTTTAAAGTGGCTTAATATAGAACCTGCTGGTTATCACAAACAGCCGATAGTAGACTTCAGCTCTGCGCCTCGCTTTCTTTTCCATCACTTGCTCCTCAGCGGCCATCCCTGGAAATCATTCTGTTGGTGGCGGGTGGTGTATAATTAATTAGTCCTTTGTGTCCTTTTGTTGCTAATGTATGAAGGAAGCCTAGATTTCTGCCTGCCCATCAATGACGCCAACGTTTTCATTTGGTCCATGGCTGATGGCAGTAAGTGCGACTGAATAATCAGATCTCATTCGTCTCTCACCAACCTCATTTGTGTTCCATAATGCACTTAGCATGACGCTGTCTGTCAGCGGCAAGCGATTCACATGATGCAAGTTACACGATATGTCAAGGAAGGGACACGGTGTAAGTCTGTCATATGTGACCTGGCATCAGAGTGACATCTGCTGGCTCTTTGTAGTCATTGCATGTGTTTGGCCAGAGTAGCTGGACATGGGACATAGCAGAATGGTAACATTCACAAAACAATTACGTTGTCTAAAATCTCCTCAACGTGCCAAGACCAATTGCATGGGTGTCTTTTATGGGCAGGTACAAACTCGTTCCCCTGAATGTTAATCTGTTGTGATAAATCTTTTCTTTAACTTTCAGCTGAAATGGAGGCCAAAGAAAATTTAAATGTAAGTAAAGAACATTTTGTTGTATGTTAGATATGAAATTGTCTTTAATGAGGCACAATTTGTGAATCTAATACCAGCAATGTGTTCAAGGGTATACTTGATCCAATGTTGTCGTGTGACTGGCACTTCTGTGGTCACCGATTAACAAATCTTTTTACCAATTTGTTCCACGTTTAAAAACAACTTTGACGAGAAGGGTTTTGAAGATTGTGAATTGAGTGATGATAAAGAATTTGTGGTTAAAGCAAGCTAGTGCTGCATGAGAGGTTCAAATTGATGCCCACTGAGACTTACCTTTCTTCTGCCTCTGTGGAACCACAGAGCCTCTGGGCGTCCTCCCGCAATGACCTATCCTCCTCGGTCACCCTTCTTCACAGCTCCCTCTCCTCCACTCTCGATTCTCTCGCTCCCCTCTCTTCCCGAACCGTCTCCTACTCACGCAAATTACCTTGGTACACCAGCCACCTCCGCTCCCTTAAAGCCCAGGCGTATTCCGCTGAGCGCACCTGGCTTAAATCAAACCCGACTGTCCATCGGCAGATTTAGCTGGACCTTGTCAAATCCTACCGCTCTGCCATCATCTCCGCTTAATCTTTGTTCTACTCCAAGACAATCTTGGAGGCTAAGGACAACCCTGGGCTCCTCTTCTCCATCATGAACCAGCTCCTCCGCCCACCCTCTCACGTCTCACTCATCCTCACCTCAAATGCCAACTGCGAGGCGATGCTGGACTTCCTCAAATCCAAAGTTGAGGGAATCTGCTCAAGCCTTCTCTGCCCTTCCATCTACTACACCCTCCCCATCTTCTCCTCCCATCCCAGCCCCTACCCACCCCTTCCTCCACATCTTTGAACATGTCTCCCCCTCCTCTCTCATCACCACCATAACCCATATGAAACCCACCACCTGCTCCCTGGACCCCATCCCTACCCCTCTCCTTACCTCCCAGCTTCACCTCCTTGCCGCTCTACTCACTGACATCGTTAACCTCTCCCTGTCCTCTGGTACTGTTCCCACCCCTTTAAAAAACACTGACTCCAATGACTCCAGGACCACTGCTGTGCTGACAGAATGTCTGTTAGACATCAAGTCCTGGATGAGAATTATCTTTCTTCAGTGGAATGTCAACAAGACCGAGGCTCTCCTGATTGGCTCCGGTCAGCGCCTCCACACCTCAGACGCTGAGAGTATCACCATCCATGGTTGCACACTCCACCTCACTGAGCCAGTCCGGAACCTTGGGGTCTTGTTTGACCCTCAACATCCTTTCTCCCCCACATCTGCACCATGTCCCAGTCTGCCTTCCCCCACCTCCACAACGTCGCCCGGCTCTGACAGTCTCACACCGCAGGGCGCCGATACCCTCATACACACCCTCATTACATCGAGGCTCAACTGTGCCGACTCACTGCTTGTCGGCCTCCCCAACTCCTCCCTCCACAGGCTGCAGATCATCCAAAACTCTGCAGCCCGTGCCCTCTCCTGCACCAGGCTCCGAGACCCTATCACGCCCATCCTCGCCCAACTCCACTGACTTCCCATCACACAGAGGATACAGTTCGAGATCTTGGTCCTCACCTTCAAAGCCCTCCATGGCCTTGCTCCCCCCTATCTCTCCGACCTCTTAACCCCCTACCATCCTGTTGGCTCCCTCCACTCAGCGGTCTCCGGCCTGCTTCACGTACCCCGCCTTGTTCGCCCCACTATCGGCAGGCGGGCCTTCCACCACTCTGCACCCACTCTCTGGAACTCATTCCGCAGTCCATCCGTCTCACCCCCTCCCTCGCCACCTTCAAGACCCACCTCAAGACCCTCCTCTTCGCCCGTACTTTCGATCTCCCTGCTTACCCCCCTGCCCTCCACCCTCCCCCACCCTGACCCTCAGCTCGGGTCCGTAACTCTGTCTGTCCAGTGCCTTAGGACATCCTCCCGACGTGAAAGGCGCTTTACAAATGCAATTTTTTTGTTGTTTGTTGTTGTTGTTTGTTCTTTTAAGTGTCTTTGACAAAGTAGGCTCAGATCAGGATCTTGTCCTGAGAGGCACTGTGTGCTGGATGGCTCAGTGCATTGATGATGTAGCGCCATCTGCCTCTAGAGGCACATATTCACTTGCAGTATATGCTATCTATCTACACTCTCAATTACTGTACGTCCAGTTCAGCACATGCCGTACTGGAACTGTCATGTCTGCACTTCTCACACCTTCCACGTGATTAAGTGATCAGTAAGAGGCAAGGCAACACTTGTACATTATCAAGCTCATGACTACCTCCAGTGAACTCAGAACCTCTCCAACAATGAAAGCCTTCAGAGGGACATTAGAATAATGGGAACGGGAGCAAGCACAAAGATTGTGGAAGTTGGGAGCTGAACAAAAGTGTCACCAAACCAAGGTCTCTCCTGTCTCCACTACACTCCTACTGCTGATCTTTCAATCACCTTCTTGGGCAGCTGATAGGATCCCTCCTCTCCTGCAAGACTGAGATAATCAGACCGTCATTACAATAGTGATTAGAATGTTCATTTGATATTGCACTTTATCACTGCAATGTCTGAAACACTTTGAATGATGCATTTCAATAGCTGGTAAATGTAGGCAAACGTGCTAGCTAATCTGCACTAGTAAATTCCCACAAACAATGAATGACTACCTTTACACACTTTTTTTGAATTGGATAATAGAGAAATGAACATTTGCTAGTGATACTGGGAGAACTCGTTGCTCTCTAAAATAGTCCTATTTCTAACAATGCAGCAATTCGTTCAGTACTGGGTTATAAAATCAAGGCCTGGTGTGCAGTTCAAAGCCACAACCATCTTGATTCAGAGACAAAAATGCTACTGGCTGAGCCAAGCTGAAACGTCAATGTTTGTTAAACCTTGTTTTAAAATTTGATTAGTGCATAAATGCATTGTTTTCAAAGCCAGAAGGGAGGTTTATCAGTTCTAGTGTAGATATCAAACTTTCTTTTGGGTATCATTTTTATCAAACACATAGTTCGGCGATTAATTACAAAAGGCTCATAACCACTCTGTCACAAGACTTGAGAGGGTGCCAAGAAAATTCAATTTGTATATGATATACCTGAATTTTAATATAAAAAATGTGAGTTACCCTTTAAAAAACCTTATATCTTCTGTTGATTTAATTTGAATTTGCAGCAGTTGATTAAACAGTACTCTCCTGGACAAAACCTACTTGGCTCAGCAAGACGAAAGCCACATAAAATAGTTTATGTTGTTTGTAACTGATCCTGACACGGCCTCTGACCCCAGATAATTCTAGGTTGACTGCACATCAAGGTGTATCTTAAAATATTGAACTGAAACATATCCTTTAGTAAAATCTCTTTGGAGAAGTAATGATGCATTGACAAACTTCAAGAGTTGGAGAAACTGATAAATAGAAATCTGTGGTCAAGGCAAGCGGCATGTGAGAGATTCCCATTTGTATGGTTTCATCTCACGTTTCTGTTAAATAGAAACTGAACCACCACCTCCGCCCTCCATCCAAATAAAATTATCTCCACGAAAGTATTCCCCAATTAATAAAATCTAATTGAATAAGGATTAGTAGAAATTAATTAAAAATTGCATTTAATATACAACTCTTGATTACAGATGTTCAGTCCCAGTGGTGCTGTATTTCATATTCAAAAAGCTAAAACAAAAAGCTTTTTAATTTATTCTATTCTCTTGTGAAAAATTGCAATACCCGAATGTATTTGTTATTTTCTTGGGCTAAATATATTTTTGATAAGAGACGCATTGTATTCAAGGTAATTGGTCTTTGTTAGTTTAAGTGTGCATTCAATTCAGCTACAAAATACATGCCATTGATTTATTTGGGTGATCACGTATTTTATTGATTATGGAGACGATAGGTTTACATTGGACTGTCGAGCAGATGCTTCCAATGCTGCATTCCAGTGACACCATCTGAATTATTTAGGTTGTACCTTCATGAAATGTGTCAGTCCCTCAGTTAATAGCCTGAAGAACAAAGACACATCCTGCAGTTTGACTGGTTAGTACATCAGTCTGCCATGAAATGGGAGCAAAAAGACACAGCCAGGATACACCTATACATATGATACATAAACGTCAGCCTATGTACTATCATGACATATACATACAGTATCTACACAAGCTCCTATATACGTTACATCTAAGTATATATACACATAAACTCAATGGGAATTGTTTCTGAAATACAATTATTTTGCTGCCATTTGGTATAAATTCTAATTGTTTACAAATGAAATTGAACTTAACAATTATGTAGCCATAGTGTCTTAAATTGATGGAGTGGCCTGTTATACTAGTCCATGTGGGTATCAGGGACTGATTATTGAAATCAACAAAATCTTAAATGCTTATTTTGGCTTCACCCATCATTTGTTTAATATATTTCTCAGAAATGCTGTGACTTGTTTTCAAACTATTTCCTGGAACTGATATTTGTGCATTGACTGGCATGTTCAGATGGTGGGGGGAAGAGAAAGACAGAAAGTCTAAATATATCCTGTGCACCCAAATCCCAATGTGTGGCTTCTGTATTCAGTTGAATGGCATAATGGGAATCTAAGGAGCGGTATTCACAAAGTAGTTTTATTGCATTAATTGTACCTTCTGGTTAAATACAACAACAACAGCAACTTTCATTTATATAGTTCATATCATGCAGAATAACATTTCAGAGTACTTTACAGGGGCTGTGCTGTTGCAGTCCAAATATTGGATTGCAAGATTCGGAAACCAACAAATTGAGAATCACAAATTAGCAAAGACTGAAAAAAGCCAGCAAGTAAAGCATACTATTTCTCAAACAGATCTCACAAGTTTTCAATTTAGCAATTGTGGTATTTGCAGTATCTATAATGTAAGTTTCTTTTTAAAAACAACTTACGGAAGAGGCTTGATGGGCTGAATGGCCTCCTCCTATTCCTGTTTTCCAATTTTCCTAAAAGCACTTTTGCAACACCAGATCAGTGGAAGTGTGCAACTTTAATTGGGGTTTCAGTGGTTGCACAATGTTCCAGCACACTTCATGGAGTAGAAGGAAGTGGCAATCTGCTCATTACTCATCAAAAGCCAGGAAACCAATCGCTGGTATGCTGTTCAGCGAGAGGTGGCGGGAAGAGATGAAGGCTCACTCACTGGCCGACAGTGAAAATCCTCGCAAGAGAGGTTCAGAGAAGAAGAGAAGAGTTCCTTGCCATTCGATGTCACCTTTTCAGAATACCAATTCTACTATCTGCCCATTGTAGCATCAAGGCTTTTCTTACAACGGTGGGCTGTTCTTGTCGGCTAAAATGGAGAGTAGGCAACACTCCAAATGCCTGGGCCAGTGTGTATATCCCAGAATAGAGAAAAAGTGCTCAAACAGTACAAAAAAATCACCGTTATGGATGCCATTCTTGACGTTTCCAAATTCATATATCAAATGCAAGGATTATTATTATCTAATAAATGTTATTGAGTGAGAATTTAAATTAGAGCTAGCAATTGAATGACTGAGTGATTACCCTTAAAGTCATTAGTTCCATTGAAAAATAATTGTTAATGCTTGCTGAAGAACCTGTTGGTTATCAGAGGAGAATTCCTTTTGTTTAGCTCTCTTTCCCTGCTTACTTGAGAAGCTGTCAGTGTTGCTCATGCTTAGTAGAAGCATACATTTAAGAGAATTCATAAATGATGACAATAACCTTTTTCCTGATGTGGACTGTTAGATCCCAGTCGCTCCCTTAAATATCCCCAAGTGCTTTGAACGCTGGTCTTGGGATCCAGAAGAAGAACGCAAACGCCAGGAACGATGGCAGAAAGAGCAGGAACGCTTGCTCCAGGTACATTAACGTTGCTTGCATTGACCCTCGCTGTAAAGTGCTTCATCTGCTGCTGCTTGGCATGTAAGCTTGCATAGGAGAAACTACACCCACAATTCAGCTCTTCACACTAATCCAATAGGAAACTTTCTCCCCAGATTTGTTTCCCATCAACCAACCCTCAAACAAGCATCAAACTGAGGCAGCGAGTCAGTATTCTGACAGGCAGATAAGACCTGTGAATAAATGAAATTAAAAAGGCTAATAGGATTGCTAAATTGGAGGGAAAATTACTGTAACCCATAACATGTATTCTTGGAATTTGTATACAAAGTTTCATGCATTTGCTTAAGTTGAAATTCATGCTGCTCACATTTATTAATCATGTCAGCCTAGTCCTTATCAATGAATGAGCTTTAACTTTCTTCACTGACTTAAGATCAAATATATTCAAGAACAAACTCCTGAGGGAGACCTTTATTGCTAGCGTGTCTGACTAGGAGAGCTCAGGCTGAATGCTGCTAGTGATTGTTATCCACATTGGAGCTCCTACTCGGCAGCTTTCACTTCTTTTGGCCAGGCCAGAGAAGTGAAAGCAAGAGAAACACAGATGGACGGCATTTGAGCAAGTGTTCTTACTGGTTGGTGAAGTGGTTACAATGACAACACTCACAGACTTATTATGGGCTTGTACTGAACTGTCCTCCTGACCAAGCAGTGTGAGGAGACGGATAGAAAGAGGAAGACAATTCAAAAGTAAAGAAGTAATTTCATATTAGAACTTCAGTGAATTTTATTTAAATGTTTGACTCCTCTAGTAAGACCAGTTTATTAATAGCTTCATCTTTCTGCTGCTATCGCTACCAAATATAAAGCATCAAGACAACAGGAATTTGCTGAGTACTGCATTGATCAACTGCATTTGTCAATAGAGAGGAGGGTGCTTGTATTGAATTTCAAGTCGCTTGAAAAGCGACAAGGCTGCTAATGCTGTTTCAGCATAAAAACATACATAAATGATGCTTGTCACTTGCTGTGTAAGGTGATGGAAATTAAAATGACTCAACTGTGTCTGTGCATGATTGCAACATATTTTTATTTAACACAACTTTGCTCATCCATGTGATTGTTTGGCAGTGATATTTGCTTATCTTTGTTTCATTGTTTTTATACAAAAGTCTTCTGTTTATCAATATAATTGCTTAATAGTATCCGTCAGACAGCCTAGCACGAAAGAGCATGCATTCCATTCTGTGCTTGTGACCATTCCATTTAAATGATTGCCTGAGGTCTTTCCCAGTAATTTAGTACTATAGGACAGGGGGAGATGCTACCAAATGCTCTGCAAGTGAGATAACAACAATTTACATTTATATAGTGCCTTTTACAGAGATGACTGGGAGCCTGAGCTGGGAGGAGGGAGCTGAGCTGAGGAAGCAGTAGAGGGAGGTGGTATTTTATTCAGCCGTACAAAGGAAATAGTTCTGTGCCAATTTGATATAAGTTAAATAATCTTTAACATGTCGTGTGTCATGTTTGGGAAGCAGTCAAACAACATAACCCATAAAACATATTTTATAAGGGATTGATCTGTGTAAGTCCCACACATTGCTGGAATGGCAGTCACTTGGATGATCACCAGTGAGAATTGAATTGATTAGACAGAGTGGCACATTTCTCTGACTGCTTACCTGGAGAGGAGGAGGGGAGCAGAGAAAATAGGAGAGGAAAAAGTAAGAAAATTGTATGTCTGCTAGTGTTCCACCTACGGCTCAATTGATATCAATCTCAAAAACATGATACATATCAAATACAAGGATTATTATTATTGTATCTCAAACTAACATTTTACCTTTCATTTACTTATAATTTGCCTAGAAGCAAAAACAAGAAGGGAAAAAATATTTCCCTGGAAGGCCAAAAAGATGCACAATATCAACATTTAGCAGCCACTTGCACATTTGCTAATTACAAAGCTGTGTTTAAACTGAAGTATCATGAAATCAATATATTCCCATTCACTGTTTTTTAACTTATATAAACACATGCCTTTTGTTAACTGTTAACACTCAGAGCATGTAGCCTAAAGAATGATTACATTACACAATGCAGGTGAGGAATATCCATTAATACTTGCAGCCCTGACGGTCGAGTTAGTAAATATATTAGCCTGGTGCAGAATTATGCCATACAAACCAGATGATTGTCGATTGCAAGCTTCGTCTGCTAAGTTAGTGGATCTAAACACACAGTCACTACACTTTATCGTGTATCCTGTGAAGCAATTTGAGACATCACAAAGACGTGATAAGGCGCTATATGAAATGCAAGGATTAATATTGTTATCTCAGGCGGGGCAAGAGTTGGGGTATAATTTGGCCTCTGTGCCCTTGTTGGGGGTAGGAAAATCAATCAGGGTTCCTCTCTCTGTCCAGTCATTATCTACAGACCTCTGATGATGAGTGTAAGTGAGGATATCGGGTGAGTCCAAAATCAGGTGTCACCATAATGTTTCTCTTCCCCCTGTCAAGGTTCACCTTAAATAATGGCCCCTTAAGGGCAATTTGCAACAAAAAGGACTAAGGTTTGGATGGCAGGTACTACATCTGTATTTGTGCCTCTCAGCTCGATTGAGTGACTGGTAATGAAATGCAGTGTCTTACTCTGCTGCAGGAAAGGTACAGGAGGGAGCAGGAGAAGCTCCGCCAAGAGTGGGAGAAGGCACAGAAGGAAGTGGAGGAGGAAGAACGTAGGTACCACGAAGAGGTAAGCAAGAGGTCAGATGTTAAACTGTGGCATGATGTTCCGTGGTCAATTTTAAAATCATTTTCTTCTGAGACTAAGTGAGTTAGTGAAAATAAGGCAGTTAAACGCTTTCAGGGTTGGATTAGGGGTTTTGATAGAGTAGATAGGGAGAAATTATTTCCAGTGGTCAGTGAGTCAATAAATAGAGGGCGGCAATTTAAGATGGCAAAGGAGCAATCTGGGCAGCATTAGGAAATTTGTTTTTACGCAGACTGTTGTGGTGGTCAAGATACAATCTATATTAACTTTCAGGAGAGAATAAGTTAGATATCTTTAAAAAATAAGTCATTTGCACGTGTATGGCAGGGTGGGTGTTATGAAGGGATAAGATCAGATGAGCTGAAGAGGCTTCTCCATCCAGACCAACTCTGTGATCTTGTGATATGTTGTGCAGTAATTGAATGTGACACTGACACCTAGTGGTAGAACATGAGTACTGCTTTGCAAATGAACCTTCTATCCAATTTACAAAGTTGAACTCTTTATAGTGTCTGTTGAGGAAAGTTACACGTGCTCCTAAAAATAACCCCATCAGCTATATGAGAAGATCAAGAACATTGTCCTCCAGTGAAACATCCTGGTATAATACATTAACTAATTAATGGAACCAATGATAAACTCAGACTCCAGTGAGACCACTGCAGCACAGCAAGTCAAACACATGGAAAGCTGTGTGTATTATAAAGAGTACAAAGTGCCAGGGGCGAGTTTGAGGAACTCATGGATTCACGTTTCTCTGTCCGCTAACACCAGAAAGACTACTTGAGTCTATCACCACCTTGTAAAGCACTCCAGAAAAATCTCATGATTCAGAGCAGACACTCGGCAGATTTAACTAATTCTATCTCGTCTCCTGGAGGTGTTGGGCTACTTTTAATCTAGGATTGAATTTCCGATGGGGAAACCTCAGTCTTAATACCTTTACTGCAGTGTTCTACATACAACATTACACAGCCGTAAATTATTATTAACGCTGGAGCTAGTTACCTCTAATCCTGGATAGAGTATGTGAACCTTGTAAATAAACCTACTCTCTTGAATTTATACTCTATAAATCACACGATTACAGTAAACAAATACTCACAAGAATACAGATTACAATATTATTATAAATGTTACTGGAGAGTGGGTGGTGCAATGGGTTAGCATTGCTGTTTGTTATCCTCTGAGACCTGGCTTTGACTGAGATGAAAATATACTCTTTCAATCCGTTGTAATGTGTAAAATGGTTTGGGGCATGTTTAACATTGCTCTGAGTAAGTGTGAATTCACAAGAACTATAATTAATTGCATTTGGTCTGTAGTTACAAATGTTAGGAATAGAACCATGGAAATTTATAGCAGAGAAGACAGCCCATCATGTCTGTGCTGGCTCTTTGACAGAGATATCAATTCAGTCCATTTTACTTGCCTTTTCCCTAAAACCCTGCAAAAGACTTCTTATATATATCTATTATATATATATTTATATATATCTATGTACTTCCCTTCTGGGTTCTGGCCTTGACACCTGATCGACGATTCCACATCCTAACAACTTTGTGTGTGTAAAAAACAATCCTCTTAATCTCTCCTTTTATTCCTTTGTTATTTATCTTGAATTGATGCACTATCGTTATTGACTTGCTGACGAGTAGAACTAATGTTTTCCCATCAATTCTATTAGAACCCCTCATATTTTAAAGAATAACTTTTCATGCAGAGGGTAGTGAGAATGTGAAACTCACTGCACGAAGTGGTGGTTGATGCAGATGCATTTAAGAGGAAGCTAGGTATTCAGATGAGGGAGAATTTGAAGGACATTAAGCAATGGGCGTAAGAACACCATCTCGGACTGGTTTGGCCGAATGGCCTGTTTCTATGCTGTACAATCTTTGTAAATCTTTGTACACTTCTAACAGGTCTTCCCTCAAACTTCTCTGTTCTGATGAAAATCGGCCTACTGTCTCTAATCTCTGCTCATGGGTCATACGAATGTGAAAACTTGTCATTGATATGGTGAAGAAGATGGCTTCTCTGAGATTGAGACTGAAGTAGACAGTGACCAAGGCAATGCCAGCCCTGGGCATTCTTGATGTTGAAATAATGACTCTGTCCCCAAACCCAACGAACCCAAAGAAAAACTAAAACAATTAAGTTTTAATCACGAATTATAATATTTTGTGACATTAATTAGTAGATTATATAATAATAAAAATGCAAATGGCCTTGAAGCAGTTTCTGTAGCAAATGACTTTTGCTGAATGCCTCCTTCCACAATGATGGATATAAAAGTCAGTTTATAATCCATCAATGTGAGCTGACCTGATCTATACAAACAATTCGCAAAATCATTCCATAAACGCTCAGGTCATTGGCAAGACATGAAATGAGCAGTTATCTAGAAATGGCTGTAAATTATCTGGAAATCCACTTCTTCCAGGAACTTAAAATCATTCAGGAAACTGTGGCACCAATAACTTCACGATCAACTGGATTCTCAAACCAGATCCCCACAGAGTGGATCTCACCACCAATAACTGAGGAAAACAGAAATCCTGCGCCCATTGAGGAGACTGCAGCAGACAGGAAGCACAAACAGCTGGCTTTGCAGAATCAGAAGGTGAGAGGCTGGGAGTTTGGTGACTTGTAGCACTTACCTTTATTCTGATCATTTAGACCGTGCAATAAGGATAATGTTTGCATTGTTTCTTAATTATTGCTGGAATAAATAAGCTCTCATCATGTGGCAGCACAACGCTCCAGGTAAGTGATAATTACAAATTACAAATTTGTAATTGTAATTACAAATTACAGTGTCTCCTTTCAATTTGTTGAGCTGAGTGTTTTTTTTTGTAAATTGGCTAGGATATTTTTGTTGAATATTTATTTTCCAGCATTGACCTGCTGAGGATACCATCTGGTATCTCCCATTTTTGTTGATCTGCACTTCTTTCCTTATCTTCCATTTTCTTTTTTTTCCCTTATTTTTATTGATTTTCGTTTTTTGCGACTCTGGCCAGGAGAGTTTCAATCGGGTGATTAACTAATCTGTCACTATCTATTCTTACTGAATTACATCTTCTATGTTATAATGATTTTATGCTTCCTGCTTTGTGTAAGCTGTGCATAAAAACAATCAGTGGAAGTAATTGTTAAAAAAATGCATCCTTATAACTTGAAAAAACATCCCCACTTGACTATAATTTAGACTTGAAAAGACTATTTGTTCATATATCAACAAAAAACTGCATATTTACAAAAAAACTCTCTTAAATGTATGATGATTCATAAACAAGACAAAGTACAAAGTTCAGTTAGCAGCCTGGTGTGCCACTGTGCTAACATTTTAGCCAGAAAAAGAACAATGTTGTTTTAATCTTTCAACTGTTAACTATTAGCAGATGGTGGAAGCAGAGAATTGGCAGCCAAAGGAAGAGTGCCAAAGACTGGCAGAGGAAGAGAGGAACAGACAAGCAGCGCAAGAGAAAGGGGGCCAGGCAGGAGAACAGCAAAGGTTGACATCAGAGCAAGTGGAAAAACTGAGCTCTAAGAAAGATGAAAATGTACAAAAGGATCATTGGGATGACACCGCAAAGAACAAGTCAGAGAATTCAAACTGGCAGGAGGTCAATCAGCTGACAAATGAAGAGCAAAGGTAGGAAATTAGTAAAGTAACCATTACAATTACTTTCCAGCCTGTAAATCTAATATGATCGTTGATCCTTGCTTCTGTTACCATTGATATCAGTTTTTAATAAATTAATAATAATAATCCTTGCATTTGAAACAGCGCTTTATCACATTATTCCTTATTATCATGTTATTCCTTATTTAATTTATTATTCCTTATTAACGCCTTATCAGGTTAATGTTATTCCTGTAGATTATTAAAGTTATTGCCAGACTCAAGGAGTATTTAGACCCATCCAGACCACCGCTTCCAAAAAAGATTTGTTTACTGATATTAAAACTAACAATACTTTATTTTGCAACAAGACAGTAGAAGGAGAGGACACGAATCTAGAGTTCCAAAGGGCAATTCAGGACAGACAGGAGCCAGGAATGTTCATTACCCAAAGGGTAATTAACATCTGGAACAAATTTCCAGGAAGGGTGGTTGAAGCCAAGACACTGGACTCATTAAAAAATAGCTTGATGCTGTGATGGGAGACAGGAGGTTGTGTATTCAGGAATGATAAAATCAGACTGGACGAAGGGCATTCTTAATCCAAACCAATCTTGTAAAGATTGTTGTAAATTTGATTTGTTTAGATGGAGTGATAAAAATAATAATCCTTACATTTGGTATGGTGCCTTTCACATCGGGAGGATGTCCTAAAGCCCTTCATACGATATACTATAAAGTGTAGTGACTGTTTTGTGGGAGCATGCGGCAACCAATTTGCACACAGCAATGTCTCACAAACAGCCATGAACAATTTTATTTAGGGATTGTTAGCCAGGAAACTCTAGTCTCTTTTTGAATAATGCCATGGGATCTTTAATATCCACCTGAAGAAGTAGACAAGGCCTCCGTGTAACATCTCAACTGAAGAACAGAGCAACTGTAGCATTCTATATTGTGTTCTCCAGCATTTTCCACACTAGAGATCTTAACCTTCAGCCTATAATTTCCAAGCTCATGCCTAACTCTGTTAACATTTGGATTCCCCAAATTAGATGCAGTTCCAATGTTTAGAGATCCTAAAAACATTAGTCAAAGCCTCAATGAGCAGATCTGTAAATTAACTAGGGTTGACTTGGGAAACAGATACAACATTTTTGAAATATCACCCATCATTTTTCCCTTACAGTTTAAGGCTTAAACAACTTATTTGCTCTTAAAAAAAATTTCTTCCATTAACAGACAAAACATTTCTTTGTATTCGGATTGCCAACATGCATACAGTATGTTGAACGTTAGCTAAGTTCCACATAGTATATCTTGAATCAAATATGACCATATTTATTACCAATTACCATATTATCAATATTACCACCTTATTTCAAAATTATTTTACTGTTTTACATTTAAAATTTGAAAGTGTTTTATAATCCAAGAGCGTCTGGATATAGAATTGTTCAGTGCTGAAGATTGAGGCCCGAATACATTGATAACATATCTTCCTCACAACATATTGACTAAAATGCCATTCCTGCATGTAGTCAATAAAAATATTAAAAGAAATGGGCACATTTCAGTGGTCTTTCCTTGTCTTAAAATTTGCCAGGGTTTTAGTAGAAGCTATAAACAGCTTGGGAATACTAAAGCATATTGAAAGGCTTCTACGCAAGGAACAGTAGAGTGAGCCCTCTCCTGGGCAAACATGCTTAGAACAACACAACTACCTATTGAAGCCTCAGCAGTGCTAGCACAGTACATATCTGAATAATGGTCCTTGCATTTTATACAGCACCTTATCACATTGTTGGAATGTCTTCATGTGATTATACTGTACGGTGTAGAGACTGTATATTTGTAGGTTAATGTACCCTCAGAAACAGTATATGCAAATGGCAGAGATAATTACAATAATAAACTTTGCATTTGATATAGAGCCTTTCACATCAGAAGCATGTCTCAAAGTGGTTCATGAGATTTATTGTAAATAGTGTATTTGTAGACTGTATTTGTAGGTGAACACAGCAGCTATTTTGCACACAGCAATGTCTCACAAACAGCCATGAAGTAAATGAGTGATTTTGTCTGGATGATTGCTGGCCCTGATACCGGGAGAAACTCCCTTCACTTTTCAAATAGTGTCATCGGGTCTTCCACATCCACCTAAACAGGCTGAAGAGCCTCCTCCATCCGAACTTCTCTAGTGATACTCAGTCCTGTGCCTTTAGCAATGTTTCCCTTAACCTGCCACTCTCAAGTCAGCTGAGATTCCGATCTCTCTGTATGAGATATGTCAGTGATAAAGATTTGAGCTGGCACTCCACAACCTGGTGTGTTGCACTGAAGCATTGTCGGGACACCAGTCAAGTAAAAGGCATTGTGAAGGATTGACCAGTGTTGGAAATGCAAAGCTATTTTCAATGATTGTTTTGAATTCTCTCCCATCAGGTTAAATTTGCAGACTGTGGCCCACACCAATCAAATGGAGACAGAAGTTGTTAGTGAAAGACTGAAACACGCAGACTGGCAAACATCCACCACAGTCCACCAGCAACCCACAGCTCAGGGTAAGCCTATCTGTGCGCAAGGCAAAACGTGAAAGAAAGAAATATTCAATTGCTACTAAAGGTAGACACCATTGCATTTGGGTATAAATTGTGGAAGAAAGTATTATTACATTGATGTCCAGTTTTCTATCCTCTTTTTTACAAGAAAAGAAAGTGGCATTGAGTAGGAAAACCAACCAATACATAAAATGACATGGATAAGGGCAAGCAGCATCCAACTGGCTAGAGGGCAGGGGCATGTCTGGCATGTCTCACAAAAGAAAAATAAAGAAGCTGTACTAAGATGTGCTGTACCTGATAAGTTTCACACTGAATGGTGGTAGATGTTTGTTAAGTAGATGCTTGTTAAGTAAACATACAAGTAAACATACATGTGAAGTATACTTACCTATATTGTGTGAGTGTATGTAAGGTATTTTCTATTAAAAGTAGTGCATGTGGCTAAAATAGTATTGCCGTGTGCCCTCATGGCTAGTCAGCGATTTCTATTGATCAACACTGATGTAAACTGCACCATTCTGGAAACCTTTATGTGTGGCTCTGTAGTAGTTTGGTAAGTGCACTTGCGTTACCATTACTTGAAATACACTCTGTAACCATTTCAGCCGCAGGCTCCCCGGTAAATTCAGACAGAATTTGGAACACACAAGAGCTTCCACCATCGCTTGAGCTTCAGAGAATGAAATCACACGGAGTCCAGGATGAACAGAAGACCATGTCTCTGGACAGAAGCTGGACTCATCAGTCTAATACAGGCAACACAAAGCGGTCAGTAGTTATACTGTAATTGAGCCAGACTAGTTCAAAATCTTGAATGAAAAACTGTTCGGAGTGATTATTCCTAAAATGCAGCTTATACTTGGAACTACACAAGTCACATATTAGTCTGTCAGAGAATCAGATCATGCCAAATTTGGGGCTTGTATCTCACGTCTTGGATTTCCATGTTTTTTTTTAAATAGATTTAACACATGTCCTTTAACGTTACATGTCCCAGATCATCGTAATGATCAATGTAATGATGTTAAATACTAGAATCTGCAGCAGCGATACTTTAAACAAATAGATGTGTAACATTAAATACGAGATTAACTGTTTCTAAGGTATTCACATCAACCGTAGAGTTAGTGAATACCATGCTCATCATATATCTTCACCACTGGTGCATAAGGAGTTCAAAGTGCCTAGTAAATCACATGAAAACCATCTAGACCTACACAACCCAAGATAATTAGAAATGCTTCATTTCATCAGCAATCAGTTGGGATGATAGGCTAGTATCCTAATGAGCCAACATTTGATCCATTATCTGTGAATAATGTTTGAATAATGTTTTTGATTGTCTGCTGCATCACTGCTGTCCTGACTGATTGCCTGTCAGACATCAAGTCCTGGATGAGCTCCAACTTTCTCTAGTTGAATGTTGGCAAGACGGAGGCTCTTCTGCTTGGCTCCTGTCAGCACCTTCCCACTATAGGCACTGACAGCATCAAACTAATTGGAACCACATCCAGCTCCCTGTGTGAAACCTCTGTGCCTTATTGGACTCTCACCTACCCTTTAAATCCCACATTTGTGCTCTGACCTGCTCAGCTTTTGCACTAGGCTCCATGAGCCTATCATCCCTATCCTTGCCTGGCTCCATTGGCTCCCCATCTCCCAGTGGATTGAGTTCAAGTTCCTCACCTTAATTTTTGAAGCCGTCCATGATCTTGCACAACCTTACCTTTGTGACCTCCTCGAAACCTACACACCCAGTCGCTCCTTCCATTCACCAGCTACTGGCCTGCTTCATGTCCATCCGCCCGCCTCACCCACCCCACCATTGGCAGTCAGGCTCTCAGTTTATCTGGCGCACACTCTTGAACTCCACCCCGGAGTTTCTTTGACTCATCCTTTCCCTTGCCTCCTTCAAGGTCAGCCTCAAGATCTTTCTCTTTGACGTGAAAGGCGCTATACAAATGTAATCTTGTTGTTGTTTGACTGCACTTTCAGACATCTGTCCCTCCTTTGCCCCACTCCCAGTTTTTGGTTGGAAACCTTAGACTTCCCAGTACCTTGGGACATTCCCCCCGATATGCAAGGCACTATATAAATATTAATTTGTATTTATATGTATATGTAAGTGCTATACTTTACCAGGAGTTGTGGGGATGTATTTTAAAACAAACATACCTCCTCCTTTATTAGGCTGTTTGATGTACTGCAAGTTTTGATTCCTTCAAGACTTACCTCTTTCAATCGACTTTTTACTCCCCACAGTCTTCAGCTCCCCCCCCCACCCCCAGCTTGAGCACCCAACAGCAGTGTGAAGCACTTTCAAACTTTCACCCAACTTGAAACACACTATATAAATTGTACTGATACAATTCACATTCATCATGGCATTCTCCTTTCAATCTTATACAATCCCCAAAGGCTTCAAGCCCTTTCACCTCTCTCTGATCTTTTCGTACCCATTCTTCTGCTTGTCATCCTCCCATCCCCATAACCCCCCACCCCCCAACCATGGGAACCTCAGGCTTGCTGTACGGGCGACCCTTCTATGCACTTAACAACTGTAACTCCCCCCACCCACCCACCCCCACTCTACCCTTCAGTCTCACCCACTCTCTATCTGTCTTTAAGTCAAGTCTTAAAACCTACCCTTTCAACCAAGCCTATGGCTACCTGCCCTCCCCCCTCTCCCTTGCTCAGCGTCTTTGTAGATCTAAGATATTACTCTGTATGAAGGGCAATGTATAAAGTTATTGTTGTTAAAAGGAGGTCTGGGCATTTGTCTACTCATTAAATGTGCTGGACAGAGAATTTGATAACATTGAAGAACATCTCTAGAAACTTAATAGGTTCGCAAATTCCTTCAAATTTTCAATCAACTGAATTTCACCTTAATTTATTTAAAAACAGCCTGATGCTGTGATGGTATTCTGGGGGGATGAGATCAGATGGGCTGAAGGGCCTTCTTCATCCCAAACAATCTTGTGAATAACTGAACCTTTGTCTCATCAGCCTATGTTTCAAATATTGCATCCTGTTTATTTTTCTTGTTGGGATCAAGCCTCAACGCATTTTCTCCTACTCTTAACTCATTTGTTCCCAGGATCTCAAAACCATGAAGCTCTGCTCCCTCGGGTTTTCCTCCCTCTACAGTCTACAGGCTTTTAAAAAGAACCTTGATGGCACCTAACCACTTCTTCTTGATCCATCTCATCTTCTTTCCTACCCTTTTTAAACATGATGGTATCCATAGTGCTTCACCTTGGTTTCTGAATAAAATTAAATTGAAGTGCACTGGGAAAGTATCACCATCAATATTTGCTGAATCTTGTTTTTTTACTAGGTCTGGATCTCATGAAAATTTACAGTCAGGTCAATCTGTGCCACTTCCACACTCAACCTCTTCTCTGCAGCTCCAGTCACCTAGCAGGTGGGCATCATAGAATGGATCACTGAAGCATCTAAACAGTCTTTGCAATGTTGCAGTCTCTCCACACCCTGGTTCTTCAGTCAAAATGTTTCCCCAGCACAGAAATATTGATAAAATATATTAGATCACATTAGACACTTGAGACGTAAGTGTATTAAGGCATCTGGAGAAAAGGTAGGAAAATGGGATTAAAGATCTACCCTGACCTAATAAAGTGGTGAACAGGCTAAATGGTCGCCACCTGTTCGTATGTTCGTAAACAAAAAGTGGCAACCTGTTAAAGCAATATCGGAAATGCTAGATTCTTAAATGAGATGTACACCAACATCTCAATATTCTGAATTGGATTAAGAGCTATAATAGGCATAGATTTACCTACAGGGATATCATAACTACAAAATAGCACAACCAATATACAGCAGACACTGAAATGCTTATGGAGTGCAATATCCACAAACTAAAGGTCTGTGAGACCTTTGAACATTAAGTACAGGGTGACTCTGTAATAATCAATATTTTGGGACCACAAACTTAAGTGCCCAAATATGGTCATTAGGTTCTTGAGATTCACTTGCTGCATGTTACACGCTCACATGCTGTGCACAGGCAGTTTTGCTGAAGTCACTTCTGAGTCACTGCTGATGAGTTTCTGAGTGTGTGAGACATTTGACTGACTGCATGGAGAACTTGCTGTAGTTTTGTTTTGGATACGTTTAAGAATGGTGATGAGTTTCCAAGTGTGTGAGACGTCTGACTGTCTGAAAATAAAGATATAAGATCAGCACAATGCTATTACTAAATAAACTTAAAAGACAGGGTACATAACAATATTTTTGTGACCCATTTAATTTTGATATTTTGCTCAATTTTGTAAAATTCCAACTCATCTTTAATAAAGAGAATGGTAAAAACACAATCACAAGAGTGTTACACTGAAATAACGTGGCACAAACTGGGAGTTGGGCTCACTGCACGAAGATCTGTGATTCTACTGCATTTCCAAGTAATTGAACAAGGAGGTTCAGTTCATTCAAGATATTGGTGTTTTGTACAGTTTTCACAGATGTAGTAGGTAATAACCTCTGTTCAGTTTGATGCAGAGCTGTACCTCTGGATATGAACTGAGGAAGTGAGAATAGGTTTGATACTTAGCTGACCCAGCGATTTCCTTCTCATAAGAAATATGCAATATAAAACCGAGTCTTTTTCTCATGAGGTTTGTGTCAAGCCTAAACATTAGAAAGCCTCTTCAAAACTAAGCTGCCACAGTAGATTTATGCATTTCAAGCTTCTGATTTAAAAATCCTTTATTTTTACAATTTGCAAATCAGATGAAATTGACTAGATTAAAAACATGGCCACATACAAAGACATGTGAAGGTACACTGTGGGAGGTGTGATTATATGAGCTGAATGTATCTGAAGGGTATACAAATACAGTGGAATATTTAATATTGTATTTTGAAACTCAAACTGAATATCATTCTTTAATAAGAAAACTTGTCATACTACAGTAATACTTCTAACTCTTGGAACGTAGGAGATAAAGCCAGTTCATGTCACGCGGTGGCTTTGGTATGTTATCCCCTGAGTACCAGGAAAATTACTGGTTTGCATAATATGATATGAAAGAACAGGAATAATTCTCACAGTTTATAACAGAATCTCATAATACTGATGCTTATTGCAGTGGGAGTTGTAACTTTTTTACAAAATGATTTTGCAGTTGCTTTCATTCACAAACGTATTATAGAAGTACAATAAAAAATATGCAGTGAATTAAATCTTGAATAATATACAGTAATTTGAGGTTAATTTAACAAGTTATTACAGTATTAAAGTTAAGCAGCAAACAGTATAACTTGGCAAACCAAGTTAGTGCGTCAAAGTGAGAGATAATCTGAAGTCTTTCATATCATTAAATAATGTGTGCCCTGAGAGCAAATTATTATAGCTATATTGAATGTTTCAATGTATTTTATTCTGTAATGGATGAGAGAGCTACAATTCATACCTAAATTTGTTTGAGATTCCTGTTCTGACATCTCCATGTTGGAAGTTTTATTATTATAACCATCTGTAAATGATGAATTCATTCCAGGAGAGGCTTTGCTGGTTTCACTCCTTGTGTTATACCTGGTACAATTGTCCACTCCACAATGAACAGGTTTAAATCCTTGTACCCTGCTCTTCTACAGGTCGGTCAGTGGTAAAAAGCTATGTTCAACTTGTAGACTTCCCCTTGGGAAAGGAGCAGCCATGATCATCGAAACACTTAGTCTTTATTTCCACATTCAGTGTTTCAAGGTGAGTCTATCTACAAGCCTTGGTTCATGGTGTTAATGTGTTAATGTTACCACTGATGTGTAATGCAATGATGATTGGAAACAAGTGTAAATGGGGGTGAGGGCAATACAGTAAACTCCAGCTTTTGGTGTCCGGAATTTGTACCTAACCAGAATGGGACTGAAACGGAAACATTAAAAAAAATTGCCAGGGACTTGCACGTGTATAAACTCCCACCTGCCCACTCTCTTTACAGTACATTCTGTGAAGTGCTTTGAGACATCTCAACAATGTGATAAAGTGCTATATAAAATCCAAGGATTGCATTATTAGGATTATATTATATATTTTAGTTAACCATCTGATTATGGCAGTGCTTGTGAAGTACTTAAGATAACTAAAGAGTTGTGTTTATCATATTGCAGTGTGGAATCTGTCAAGGACAACTTGGAGACGCAACCACTGGGACAGATGTACGGATCCGCAATGGTCTTCTGAACTGTCATGAGTGTTACATCAGGTCCCGAAGTGAGTGATACTGAAGTATTTTCCAAAGTATTTTAAAAACCTTTAAAATTCTTTAAAATTTGAAGCTTATAATCAAAATGCTAAAACTAGGTTAACCTGAAGTTATACTTAATCCTGTTTGCCAGTAATGTAACAAGTTTCAGTTATTCTTGCAAGGCTTACATGCCAACTTTATCATTGCTTTCTGAAAATTCAAATGAATTATATTGACTGGTTAGCCCTCATCCGCTAATTGTTACTTTCGTGGATTTTTTAAAAATAAGGCAGAAGGTGCGAGTAATTAAATAAATAAATAAATAAATAATAAAAGTGTAGTTACTGCCATTTAATATCCACAAGCTGGGACAAGTTGGAGTCACAATTTCAAAACTGCAATCCTCGCATTCTGAGGAAGCAATTGGGTTAATCATGTTGATTGATGTCAAATAACTGAAGTTATAGAATGGAAATTATTTAACGTTGCGTATCATTGTAAGTTGTAATAAAGGAGCGAAATAATTAAATATACTTTAACATTGGCGACTAAAATGACCTTTGTTTTTTAGTTGCTGGACAACCCACTACTTTATGACCCTAATGCGTATTAACAACAGTCACTGGAAACCGGAAGGGACACAAGTGGACCGGATGCTCAGTGCTGCCCTTCGTGTTGACTGCTTAACTGACAATCGTGAATAGGAACTATCACTCACTGGCTTTTTCATTAAGAGAAACACTCAGCATTTTCACCACTTGTTATAACCTGTGTTACTTTGACAGCCTATACCTTGGATCATTTTCATGTTTAGTGAAACCCCCATTCTTTTGTGCGCATAGAAACAAAAATAGCATACTTTGATATATATTTGCTGTTGAAAAAGCTTTTAACTGGATTCAACAAGTATTTAATTAATATTGTGTGATATGTAATTTATTTTATTGCCGTTCTCCAATTATGAGAAAAGTAAGACGTAAAGGTGCAACGATTATGCGAATAAGTGAATAAAATACATTTGTCCTTTAGAGTTAGAAATAACCTCCTTTACCTGGATCTAACCTGAGCCATCTGTGTGACATTGAGAGAATGCAGCAATCATTCAAATTTGATAGATTTACAATTGTTCCAATATTGTAGAGTACTTAGTACCACAGGTATATTTCTTCATAATGTAAGAATATCATCTCAAGGTCTGGCATGCAGAAAACAAAAAGGATAATGAGGCAATAACTATGCTGTTCTTTCATAGTAGCTAATAACAAAATGCAACTACAGAATTTATAAATGTATCATAAATCACACGATTAAATAAAAATGAAAAGGAAAGCTTAAATCTTTTGTCTTCTAGGGAGAACTTGTATGTCAGTCTGAGGTTTATTGCACCCCGCTCGCTGTGTTAGAAGGAATATAGTGAATAATCCAAGCCTGTGCTCAAATATTTATTTGTCGCTGTTAGAGACATCGGATCTCAGATTTTCAGTATTGGATATCTTTCACCTATTGTTTAGCTAATTACTCCGAATTCTTGTTTATTTTCATTGCAAAAAGAAAACATTTAGTGGAATATATACTTCAAGATAGAGATTGGTGGGTTTGTAGTAAAATTATACTAGGGTACCACTTACATTCAGGCAACAGAAAGAGGAAGGAATTGACTTTCTCCCAGCCCATAATTAGGTTTTCCTGGAAATTATGGAGCCTGACTGTGTTGTAACCCAGCCAGTTCCCCATGTTTTTTTCCTATTTGTTTGTTGTTTCCTTATATTTTTCTCTGTATGCCTGTAAGTAGAGATCAACCAAGAAAAGTATTGGAACAATGAAATTCCAACACCATTTTAAACAGGAAAAAAATCAGGAGGTGAAGATGCCATGGTTCATAACAGATTCAGTGTTATGGAGTTTGGGATTTTTCACCCCAAGATTGAGTTGAACAGTGTCCCCAAATGCTTCATTAGCTCTTGTTATTTGAGTGGTAAATGTAACAGATTTGAAAACATGAGAAGTCTACCTTGGAACTGATCAGAACACAATGAACATTGATTTAGCATTTTTGCATTTCCCCTTTATATTGCTAAGCCCTTATTTCCAATACACAGGAATTCCTAAAGATATGGCAATTACCCCAAAACAAAAATAAAATTATTTTGGCGATTGTTGCACCTTTATTATTATAAAACGTTCTGCCTAACAGAGTATCAGAATCATGTTTTTTTTAATTATTAAAAAAAACTCAGCCTTTCTAAGCAGGGAATAATTGGATTGCGTTCAGCTAGTATAAATTATTTCAGGAGCTGCCACATCACTGCTGGAGTAATCGGTATGACTAGCGAGGACTTTAGCAAATGACTGTGGAACTGAAGACTCATTACTTGAAGTGGATGGACCAGCTGGAAATTGTGCTTTTTATTGTTTATGTATTTTTAGTTCTAAAATATCATTATATGCACCGCAGACTTTTAAAATGTCACTCTCTTTGATTTGTGATTAAAGTCGCCAAAGCAATCAAACAATTATACAGTAACTAGACCGAGACATACCATAATTCCTTGCTTAGCAAATAGATGGGTCTGAACCCGATACTTGGAAATGATTCTGTGGAGAACTGCGAGCACCTGATAAGCCAGCTGCATTGTATCTATCTGCCTCAGTCAGCCGCAATACAATAACACTTTGGTTCACTTAGATCCTAGACTTTAATGTGGGATAAATATTAAAAATGTGGCCCACCAAAATTGAACGACAGTGTTAAAGAGCAAGCAAATAAGCAGCCCTCTCTTTTCCTTGGTTGAGCAAAAAATATTTTTTAAATATTAAAAAAGGTTGGCATTTATTTATTGAAATAGATAAAGCCACGTTTTGCATGCTAATTGAGGCCTCGAACAGAGGAATCATAAGATAACTGTTTGCTGTATTTTTTTTTATTTGTAACCATTGCCTGATCGGTTTGTTGGAATGTTATATGTTAGGTTCTTTCACATTAAAACCGTGCCTTAGAAAATGCAGGCTGTTGCACATAGACGGTCAGAAATATTGAGCATGTATGTGAATCAGACATAATTGGTGCCATGTCTGCTAAGGATGTGCTCTGGAGTGAGCTGGGTGCAAGCGGTGCTAGGAAGCAGACTGGATCCTGAGGTCCAAAGGGCTTACTGCACGTGGTCAGCCAACAGTAGACTGAAGTTTTTGACCTTTCTGCATGGTTTCAGCAATAGCTGATGTTGCTCCTGCAGAGAGAGAAACATCCGTTGTGTAAAATACAAGTTTTAGCACAAGGGATTTTTAAAGTGGACTTTTTACATTTTCTTGTACTCGCGCCCTCCTGAGAACTTACGGATGTGGAGGAAGTCATGAACGTAAATGTAGTAGCACATTTTGTACGTGTTCCAATAGCCCCATTTACAAACCTGTTTTTTTTGTTTGTTTTAAAAATATATATATTTTAAATGGAGACACTTTGGACCAGAGTCACTAAGCACAAGTGGTAACATTACAAGTAACTTCCTGACCTGTATTGACTTGCAGTCAACACAGATTACTTAAATATCAATACTTAAAACTCCCACCCGACAGTACTGCAGGCTTCCCTGGAAAAGACATTGTGAAACACATTCCTGAATCGGGAATGATAGGAGCAGCACATTTGTATTTTGTGGTTGAGTGTGAATCAGAGAAAGAAATAAGGGTCTGTAGCAACGTGAATTGCAGCGTGAGTGCATGTCAAAGACAGAACAAAACCTGAACTAGCCTTAGCACAATAACAACAACTTGCACTTAAAATAGTGGCTTTTTTATAAGGCACCACCTTGAAGCATTTTACAGAGACGGAATAGAAGTCCGGGCATGTCGGGAGAAGGGAAAGGTAGGCATGAGTCAGGTGATGGCATAGTCGATGAGAGAGAATTTGAGGTGAGTTTTGAAAGCAGAGGCAGAAGTATTTTGGGAGAGCGCAGTAATGTTATTACCCTAAGCAGAGTTGATCCCTTTCATCAACCGATAGTGTGGGCCCCCCCCCCCGATAGCATCTGAACCAAAAACATTAGGATTGCTTCAGTACAAATAAAAAATAGCCAAGGCAAAGGTATTATTTAGAGGTTACATTTTGTTTTAAAAATGTTCCACTTATAGGTTTGGTTGACTTGCACTGAATTTGGTAAGTGTAGTAAGTCCATGTTTGGCTCAAATGTCAACATTAAGCTTTGTCAAAGGCTCATGCCGTATTTGTACCAGATTGCCACCAGACTCCGAAATTCATGTTTGCATGATTGGATGCAGTATTTTAACAGCAGCATGCAGTGATTCTCTGCCACCATTGACCAACATGAATGTCTGCATAAAGAGCTCATAACTGTACTTGGTTAACAAGGTTTGTCCAAAGCATGCTTGACCAAACATGGACTTAAGCTGGTGAATAATTGTAACTGGGGCTAGTGTTCAAACATAAATGATTGAAACTGTCTGATATATGCTACAGTTCAACTTATTATGCTGTATTTATTGTGATTTGCCTCTAGAAATAATAAAAAGTACAATGTGTTCAAATAATGCAACAGCTTTTATAGTACATGTATGTTGTTTATAAATAAAATGTTTAAAAATTAACCTGTTGCTTAATGATTTTTGTTTTCCACTGATTGACTTTGTGACTTTATTACACATGAATATTCTACATGAGGTGATTTTGATTGTGCTGCAAAACAGGACAAACCTCAGAAGCACATGTGAGGGCAGAGAACTCCTGGCCCTCAAAGAGCGGGTCCAGTCAAAAAGTATGTGTGGCCTGCTAGTACCTGGCAGTACTAATAAGGTACTTGAAGGCAGTAGCCTCTTTAAGAGACCTGACCTTAATGCTGTGCGGACAGTGTTTGTGCATACATGGTGTTTGATGTGGTGTGTGATTGGTGATGTGTGTGCATGCATGCATCTGGTATGTTTGTGCATGTGTATCTGTGTGTGATGTGCATTTGAGAGTGCATGTGACCGGTGTCTGTGTGCACATGTGGTCTGGTCTGTGTGTGTGTATCTTGTGTATGGTATTTGTATTTACCGATGTACCTCTGGTATGTGTTCTGGTGTGGTTTGTGATTGTGAGTGTGGTGTGTGTATGCGTGTGATGGTTGTATGTATGAGTTTCATGTTTGTGTTTGGTGTTTGTGTGTATGCATATGATGTTTGTGTATATAGTATGGTGTTTGTGTGTCTGTGTGTGTGTGTACGCATGTGTGTGTGTTATGGGCATGTGTGTGTACACGATGGGCTGAGGACTGCTGTTTTCATTTGGTGATGTTTATTTTGATCTATCAGTGAACAAAAGGCTTATTTTAGTTCCAAAAGCGACTTTGCTGTTTTGCTTGCAGGCTCCAGCACCACAATCTCTCACAGGGCATCTCCACCTACACCAGTGAGACATTTTTCAGCTCACACAAGAACCAGCCCAAGACTGCTGAGATATGACTTAGACCATGATTCTAACACCATGAATAATAGTGTAAACTATAAAATTATAATAATACGATAAAAATGTCAAAAGTCATGGAAATCATAGTAAAAATTATGGAACTCAGAAAATTTTAACAGGAGCGTCATTACTAATTGGAAACTACTGTTATTTTGTTGGTGGTCTTTTTGCATTAAAATATCACAAAGATTCTATGCATGCACAAGATAAGAATCAGGAAACCTTTTTTTAATTAAAGATTTTGGCTGCAATATGACCATTTTCAATATTAATTTGTAAAACAGATTATTGTACTTCCTAAAAAGAACTAACTTACAAATTAAGACTAAGTTTAAGAATTTTATGCAATTCTGTGGGACTTTTAAATCAAAATTGTCTTTCATGCTAAGATAAGGTAGAATTTGGGGACTTATAGTACACAGAACAAGCAGGGAATTGAATTAGTATACTGTATATAGATCCACTTGATGAGCTAGCAACATTATAGGCTTGATATGCAAGAGTGGCTAGAGTTTCTCTGATTGCCTGAGAGAAAAATACTCTTCACCTTCTGATTGCATAAAGTGTCATTTTTCCAAAAAGCAAGATTTCTTTTTCAAAAAATGATTCACATAATAGATTTCAATCATGATCTTTCACTGAAATTTTGACTGTAACATGACATTAAATTTCGGTGTCCCATAGTTCAGTGGTTAGAACACTTGCCTCGTAAGCGAGAGACCTGGGTTTGATTCCCGGCAGGGCAAAATTTGGGGCAAGTTTCCTTACTCCACGTGCCTCCGTTTACCTAGCAGTAAGTAGGAACCCAGTTGTTAATCAATTGTCGGATCACTTTTCCAGGAGTAATCATTCTTTCAAAACAAATAATAATTGTTGACTTCAATCTACCGCTGTTTGTGGGACACCGTTGAGCACAATTGGCTGCCTCATTTTGCCCGCAAAATATAGAGTCAATTCACTTTACAGTATATTCTGTAAAGCACTTTGAGACGTCTCAAAGGCGTGATAAGGTGCTATATCAAATGGAAGGATTATTATATTAAGCACAGTCTTCTCTTACTTTGTATAGAGTCTAACTGGTCAAAGAGGAAACTATGGTATTCTACATCTAAAAGTGAGTTAGTTATCTTCATCAGTAACTGTATATCACTTTCCAGTCAGCGCTCCCTTTGAAAATACAAACAATTTGATCTCAATGTCTTTCTTTGAAGCCGTATGTCAAATACTGCCTAATGAACTTGACCAGATTACCACAATTGTTGCAGTGACATTCATTTGACTGGTTATTTATTCACAAAACCCATTGTGCTTGCTGTTTTCCCTGGTTCAGTTGCAGTTATTTAGATTCCAAGGATCAGCAAAAAAAAGCTAATTAAAAAATTACTGTGGCTTAGCGATCAGCTCTTTGGAAAGGCAGCTGAAAGGGTTCAGCTGAGGGCACCTCAAAGTAAACTGCTACTCTTTCATCGCAGGTGACCTATGACAGCAGGAGTGTCATTGAAGCTACTCGTATTTTGTTTGGTAATCATTCTAGATTAAAAAAATTCACAAAAGTTCTGTGCGCAATTGGCTGCCGCGTTTTGCACACCAAATATACAGTCAATTCACTTTACATATATAAACAAAATGCAAAATACTGCAGATGCTGGAACTCTGAAACAAGTCGCTGGGAACACTCAGCAGGTCAGGCAGCATCTATGAAGAAAGGAAAGTGAGTAACGTTTCAGGTCCATGACCATTCGTCAGAACTGGGGCATGTTGGGAGGGAGAGGCTTTTACGTGAGGGGGGAGGCAGGACAAGGAAGACAAAGGAGAAAATGGGGTAGAGGATCGGGGATGATGGGTTAAAGAAATGTTAATAATGCAAAACAAAGAGGCGGCGGGGGAGGGGGGGAATTGCAACAAAATAGGCAGACCAGAGAGAGAAAAGGTGTGTCAGGGACCCAGTTGATGTGGTAATGGTTACAGAAGAGGGGGAGGGGGAAGGTGAGGTGTTATGGTCTGAAATTATTGAAATCAATATTGAGGCCAGAGGGCTGTAAGGTCCCTTGCAGATAGATGAGGTGCTGTTCCTCGAGCTTGCGCTGTGGCTCATTGGAACAACGAAGGAGATCATGGATGGAGAGGTCAGAGTCTGAGTGGAAGGGAGAGTTGAAGTGGCAAGAAACTGGAAGTTCAGGGTTGTGCTTGAGGGCACAAATCGGTTTCAAGCAAATGCAATATCCAGTTACTTAAAAGTGATCATTCCTTTGAATGTTCATATGCAAAGAACTGTAAAAGGCATGAAAGCAGGCCTTTGTACAGGCAACACAGAATTGGTTTGCAAATGCTTACTTGGAGTAAACAACGTTAAACATACAAGTGTAACAGTCTGACCTCGTCAAATGAGAAGAAACGACAGTACATTTAGAAAATGCTAATCCAAATCATAGCGCTTTAAGACATAGCGCTCAGCGACATGATAAGGTGCTATATCAAATGAAAGAATTATTATAGACAGAGACTTGACTCACAGAATACACATGTTATATGTATGCTGTATAGGTCAGACCGAGAGAGTGCAGCCAAAAGACAATTTATTTTCTGTGAGCTGGCAGGCTCCAACCATGAATTTAGAAACCTATGAGTCAATCACCACTATCAGAGTACTAGGGATCAAGAAATGGCATGATGAATAACTGAGGTTACGACAAAAATAATTCACAGGAGATTCTGGGATTATTTTTTAATCAAGTGTTTTACCTTATTGAAATTTGGGAGTAAAATTATAATTTATTTCCATTTCCACTTTACCACCTTGTATGAAAGTTCCAACATATTCTTCTCCTCCTTGTGCTGCTTGTTCTAACCAGAGCTTTAAGTGGTATCAGTTTCCTCCTTATCGCGTGTAATGTATTTTTTATTCAATTATGGGCCAAGCACAATGGAGCAGGACCTATTCCTTCTGACATTGTGCTGAGTGCATGTAAAATGCCAGGATGAAGACAAACCTAATAACACACATTATACAAGGAAATGCTGAGGCCGTATCATTCTCCTGCAAAAATAATTTACGAATGCTAATTATGCTTTCCCGACATAATAAGGCAACATTTTCAACTAACAGACACAATTATGAATCATTTGCAAGGCATTTTAATGTAAAGTTTCCCTTGTTATAGCACCTGGTGCTACATTATTCTATGTTAGTCTGCAATGCCTTAGCCAATTTATTGTTTAATAAAAGGTTTGTTTGCTGCAGACAATGAGGTTCAAAATGTGACATTCGCAAGTTGGTGTTACTGTATGTTATAAATAAATACTTGAATACCCACCCTACCATCTTCCCATTACAATATCAAGCTATTTCTCAAACAAATCCAGTGTCCTAATCTCAACCACCCTTCTTCAAACCCAATTGCAGCTTTTAATATACATGCATGTTAGTGTATTTTGAGCTTGTAGACAGAATGCACTTGTAGCTATATATCTGTATATGATGCTAAAATCAATTTATAGGTTAATAGAAATGACCAATCTGTGATTTTTTTGTTTCCAGAAAAACAATCAACAAAACAATATTCCAAACTTAAACCAGCAAAGTGCATCTCAGTGTATGAGAATGCCTGTAGGAATGAGGCGGAGGTACATTGCAAATGAACAACTATTATTAACACATATCTAGAAAATGTGCCATATTAAGGTCCTGAATTTTATGTGCAACCTTAATTGTCCAGTTTTTTATGAGCTAATATGTAACACCTAACCGTCTCAATATTTAAAACTCATTAAGCAGGAAACATTCTATGTCATGAAAATTTGAATATCTAAATTTCTCATTCTGAAACTGCCACGAAAAGTAATTTATTGATAAAATAATGTTGCCAATGGCAGATCACCCTGCAATAGGGAGAGGAGGTACGATTGAAAGGAACATTCTGTGTCTTTAACATCGACGTTGTCCACAAACACTAGAGGGCGACAAACACTGGAGTTAGAGAGTTGGGCTAATTTGAGGGTTGACATCCAGTCTGTTTGATAGAAATCTATTCGGACATGAGGAATTGTCACGATTTGTTTGATGAGAATCCATTCAGACATCATAAATTAGCTCCTAGGCAGTTTGATAGGAATCAATGGTGGGATCAGAGTCGGGCAATGTCTG